ATATAGCTTTCTAAGCCAAATGAAACTTTGTAAAGAGAGTAACTTTGGGATTTAGTGCTAGATGAAACAGCTGCATGCCAATCTTGCTCAGACGAGGCTTTTAAACGGTTTACAAATTCCAAGATAAAACTTCTACTTTTATTACTAAATTGCATCTCCCATATGTAGCCAAAACCAAACGAACAGAGAATGTGTTTGATTTTAGAGACCCAGTTGATCTTACCATTATTAACATCAAGTAATAATAATCTATAACATTTCTTAACTAATCTATTTTCAGGCAAATGTAAAATTCTGTACCAATAAGTAACTACACGCTTATAAGCACATATGTACATAGGATACCTTCCGCATTCCCCCCTAACCACATGATTTGATGAAGATTGTTTAACCCCAAGAAAGCGTTTACATGCTAGTAACTGGATTTGCTCTAATTCTTTGTAAGTATCTACACCCCAAATCTCGGCACCGTATAAAAGAATTGGAGATATTTTAGAATCACTTTTTTTTAAAAACAAGTCATAAGGAAGAGGTTGAAGCATTTTTAGAGATTTAATGACACCAAATAGGACCTTTTTAGCTTGTAAGCAGCACTATTGACATGCAAAGACCAGGAGAGTTTTTTTGAAAGAATGGTACCGAGATATTTATAAGAACTTACACACTGAAGTTTTTGACCCTTGTAATACCACTTTTCATATTTTGATAAAATACCCCCATTTTTAAATACCACTACCTTAATTTTATCTAAGTTGACTGTTAGATGATAGTTACTACAAAAACTTTCCAGAGTTTTATGCGTTTTTGAAGGCCATACACAGTATCAGCAATAAATGCAACATCATCAGCAAACAACAATAGAAAAATCTGTACAGTGTCAGGGTGTAGCTGTACACCTGGAGTGCATGTTGATTCTATATACAAAACTAAGTCGTTTATAAAAATAGAAAATAAAAATGGACTCATTACGCAGCCTTGCCGAAGTCCTAGAGGGCAATCAAAACATTCTGTAAAACAATTTCTGATCTTAACACAGCTTTTAACACAGGAATAGATGGATTCTAATGCATTTAACATTTTTTGGGACACACCTCTGGATTTAAGAACTAGCCATAGTTTAGATCTATTTACAAAATCGAAAGCCTTTTTAAAGTCAACAAAAAGAACATATAATTTACCACGCTTCTTAGACAGATAATGCTGGATTACAGACTGCAGAATAAATATATTATCAATAGTACTATAACCTTTCCTAAAACCAGCTTGAGAGTCACAAATTTTATCATACGCGTCAGACCAGAACGTAAGTCTTGAATTAAGTACAGATACATAAAGTTTACAAAAAGTGCTGAGCAAGGAGATACCACGGTAGTTATTGGGGTTTGAGTAATCGCCCTTCTTATGCAGAGGTATGATAACACCAGTACACCACGAATCACTAATGGGGATAGACGATTCCCTTTCTACAACACCAGTGTATTTTCTTAACATTTCCCAAAATGTTTTGGAGTTATTGATATTGGATGAAAGTCTGTCACGAATCAAATCATTAAAAGCTCTTTTCTTATACCTTACGATATCCATATATGTTTTACGCTGCAGTGAATAGGCTTGTAACGAAACATTATCCTTTATCCTATTAAAAACATCTAGTAGTCGGAAGGCTTCTCTTCTGTGATAATCACATTCTTTATCAAACCACGACCTGTCGCGTCCATGACGCTGAACAATCATACGCTTTGTAAAATCTGCTGCCTTCAACAAAGCGTCCGTAAATTTACTAATTGCTGCATTTATGTCTGTTAATGCTAACGTAATACAATCATCAAACAAATGCTTAATTTCATTACATGAGACATTTTCTCTTAACCGATCACCAAAGCTATCACGCCAAGTATACTTAATACAAGCTTCCGGCTTCACATTCTCACCCGACATAGCATTGTCAATTTCAGTATCACGTGACTGAAAGGTACAATTGATTGGCGCGTGCGGAGACTCGATCCGAGATCCGATGTTAAAATTCTTACACAATGTAAACAAATCACCTGTTGTGATAGCATAGTCAATAACGCTTGCGCCTGTAGGGGACACAAACGTAAAATCTCCCACACTGGCATCAGATCCACAACGACCATTAAGTATAGACAAGTTTAGAGAAGCACACATATTAAGCAAAATTCGCCCAAATTTGTTCACAGTCTTATCGGATGAAAATCGCTGTGTGCAAATACCCTCACAGAGAAAATGGCACTTGTCAATGTGCAGAGCTCTCATTATATCGTCCTCAACAAAATCAAAGTCTGTTCCAGTGCGGGCGTTGAAGTCGCCCCCGAGGAGGATAGAGACGTCCCCCACTTGTTGTAGTAACATCTACTAGTTCACGTATACAACAATCCCGTAACATTTCTGTATTTGGTACCTTTTGTCCTGTAAATCCAGGCATGGTGTGACGTAACAATCCTATCCTCGCCGCATCAAGCCATATTGTAGCCGACACTTGACCCAAGTTCCAATATACCCCCCTCATCCCAATAGCTATTCATAGTGTTTCCCCATCGGACCATCGGAGTAGTGTTCCATGAAGACACAACAGACACGGGGATCTAGTGTTCTTATTTAATGTTTCAACCACATATGATGTGTTATACAAATCAAACACATTAATAAACTATATTTCATCATAACAATACGCAGTATATCTACATGGCAAAATGCCCAGTGCATCTGTCCTAGGGTACTTGAACATGAGTGATGTCTACATATGTATAAAGTGTAGCGCCTAGAAATGTTACTTCTATATGTCTATATTTTGGGCCATTGGCCTCTATATTGAATAAATCGTCTTGTCATTTCTTGTCTTGAACTACAAAAAAATAGATGTTAATTTTGTTGAAGAGTGAACAGTAAAATATATATGATTAATTGTGCTGCACGTTAAACACTATAACATATATACACTTCTGAGACCTTCTAACGCGTCAGTGCCTATCACAGTAAGATATCAACTTCATCCCTATGATCCACAGGAGTCAAATAACAACCGTATAGTTCAAAGGTCAGTATGTTGAGACTGTCAACCAATGGAGATCCTAATACACATAGCAGACAGTCACCACAGTGATGCACATTTATAGCCTCGGACATTATTGCTTGTAACGTCCCGTTACGGCGAACCAGGCGGGGGGTGGGGGTTATGGGTGGGATAACATATGAAGGACAACATTATCGTAGGAAGAAAAAAATATGGATATCAAAGTCCATCATGTCAACAGAATATTGCCATAGAATTAACATTATCGACGATACACCCTAACATTTTTCTATGGACATGTTATATTATTTTCAAAATTCAATACTCCATGACCCCTTCAATAAAACCATCTATGCTTGTCACAGACGAGTAAATAGATCGGCTGATTGCATGTCAACGTATCCCAATTACGTTGATCGATGCTTATAATGTCAATCACTGGATTGTCTGGTCCAGACTCTCTTATTTACGGGGCGTCATATCGCTGGAATATTGCTGAACGTGGCGTCAAACAAGAAAGAAAGAAACAAACAAAACGCGAAGCTGTCGTCAGCTACATGTGTGGACTATTATAAATACACAATGGAATTTCGATGTTTTGCGTTATACAAACATAAATTAGTGATAGAAATGCATGATAAACAGCCATGAACCTTGTAATCAAAACAAAACAAAATTACACACTGAAAACATCCCAAGAAAAGTCAATCAGGACGTCGATGTAAACGTATATTTAAGTCGGAAGAGTTCTTGGACACGTTAGTGTATGAAAACATTAGACATTGCCGGGCGGCGGTGATTTTTATCCATTGCACCATGTCCCCAAAAGTCCTAGCTCCCCCGTTAATAACAGCCCATTAACTTGACTTCGTTCCATGCTTCGTATTCTTGTAGAACAGTCATCTTCCATGCTAGTGTATAGCAGATCTATTTTCATCTGTCCTTCGTAATGGTACAAACTTATGGCTTCAGACACATGGGTATAATCACTAAAACCACACGCGGTCATTTCCTCAACTTGAAAATGATCTAATCAATAACATTTATATAACTGCGATATGTATTTCTTCGTTGCGCAATCGTACCCCGGATGTTGATCTTCTTGGTACATGTTCTTCGTCTACATGCAGCTAAATACTCGCACAACGTCCCAGCCTGGATGATTGCCTGGGAATAATTGCTTTGACTTTTGATTGCACCATAATGGTTATTGTTGAATAAGTGACACCACATCCGTCTCAGTGCCAGAGAAGGGTGCCTGACAATAGTACCAAACACTCTACCAAAAACATAGGGAAGCCGGGTGGTGATGTTGTCCCAGACGTTGTATCAAGTCGAAAGTCGAAGAAGAAACAGTCGTTTTTCTCTCTTTGGCTAACTTGGAATCGACAACTGGTACAGAAATCGTCCCCGTTTGCAAACAAGTCTCCCATTATCGATCCTTTCAAGATGGCGGTCTTGCAAGCACGGTACCAGGCATCACAGAACTCATGGCACACTGTCAGTCTCTCTCGGAAATAGAATATATTCTGATTTGGTGCACATATGTAGCACATTAAATAGTTGGTGTACTTCTGACATGCCTGGGACGCCCCTCTCAAAGGCTTCACCCTCCCAAACGTCGCATCGATCTCCTCCTGACCACAGCAACTGTTATCCTTGAACCACGTACAGTTCTTTAACCCAGGCTGAACTTTTGGTGCTCGGTTGTCAAAGAATGAACAAAACTGTTGCGGTTCTTTGCGCATCACAATTATTGGAGAAGTGGCGACTATATATCTGATCGCATTTAGACCAAGCAAGACGAACACTGGTAGCTCCATCTTGAATAAAGTCTATCATGATCAGCGGGAATAATCAATGGTCGCCTTGTCGCCGAGGTTTGCCGGATAGCTCCGAATCATAATTCTATAAACTCGGGGCATCGCGTGTGTGCGCAATGTAAGTGTGTCGTACATGTGCGCTGTGTGGAGTCTATGTATCATACACACACATCGGTAATCGTCACACACGTCTGTGACAGATTTTCAGCGTGCACAGCATTTTGAATTATTATTATGAAAATCAGTGCGAACATTCACTGACGGGTGAGTCTGTCTATCACGTAAATTCACACGAACCGAGTGACAAAGCAGCAGCAGCAAAAAAGAAAGAAGTATTCGACAGCCCGGTATCTATTACCGTACTTGCCCAGATAAAACTTGAACGTGAGGAAAGGCAGTTTACTGCTGGTAAACAGGTAAATATTAAATAGTTTTACATGTTCTGGAGTGATGATGTAGTGAAGTAGCTAGTACAACAATTCCACAGTTTTATCTGTTAAATTCTGTGTGATTTCCAATTGTTTTGAGATCGTTTTTTTTTACCCGTGAAGATCCGGGTTAGAATAGGCGACTATGCTTGTTAGTACTCCACTGTGGTCACTTATTAAACAGTCGACCTGTGAAGATTCCGGGGTAGAATAGGTCTTTAGCAACCCATTCTTGCCGTAAAAGGTGACTCTGCTTGTCGTAAGAGGCGACTTACAGGATCGGGTGGACAGGCTCGCTGACTTGGTTGATGCATGTCATCGTATCCTAATCGTGTGGATCGGTGCTCATATGTCAATCACTGGATTGTCTGGTCCAGAGTCGATTATTTATAGACTGCCGTCATATGGCTGTAATATTGAGTGTGTCGTTAAACAACAAACAAACAAATGATTTCGGTTTTTTCAAATGTGAAATAAAAATGTTTTTTTTATCAATTTTTCTATTTATAAGCTACAGCTGTAATAGTGTTGATTTGGCCCGATCCATGTCAACAGTGAATGTTATATGATGTATTGTGACATCTTGACTGTTGGACCCCAGCAGTGCCCTCGGCTGATGTAGATTACCAACAAAACATGATCTCAGATAGCATTAAGAATCAACACACGATGTAGATTCAGCATGTTTTAGTGTGTACAGTGCTATGTAACAGAATGTCTATGCCAATATAGTTACTCTGATCAAACAAGAACCATTTTCGGTGTTTCAATCCCTTTCATTCTGTGTGAAAGTGGTGAGTTTTTGAACTGACATATATATATATCAGTCTGATTCCATATTTACAGTGATGGATTATGAGCGTGTTACGACGTCGGCCGGGGACACCCCTAAGATACAGTCAGGGATGTGGGAACATGTCTGGCGTGCCATCAACATCTTCATGCTACTGTTCTTTTCATTAGCAGCCTTTTACAATGTGAGTGTGTTGGTTTCATCATAAAATGATTGATACTTTTTAATAAATTCACAGACACACTTTATCATGAACACAAAAAACTGTAGATGGTACTTAATCTATTTTATAGTCTCAGGTTTAAGGAAACAAATACAAAACTTGGTTCGCCAATCAAATGCCATGGAATCACTTGCAGATTATTTATTTACATTTACAGTGTACCAGTAGTTGAATGTACATTGGGACACAGAGATTATAAGCCAAATGTGTTTCCATATTGTACATATCATGTATTAGGAAGAAATATGTGATTTTTGCATGTTTAAGACATAATTTCATATGAAGTAGCATTAGAAACTCTGTATGAATGCAATGTTTGAATGAAGTGCCCATTTTTTCATAGATGTTACGTACAGTGCCATTTGACTTGCAGCCATTGTTGTATCTTGTTTTGGCAACACATTTGGAAACTTGTATCAAATCATATTGGGAATGTTAATAGTTTATTGAGAAAGAAAGCCTCGTTTTGGCATTTTGAGCTTGGAAGAAGATACTGCATCATTTGCATATTTATAAGACCATAAAACCAAGTGTATGGGACTGGTTTATCGTATCGAGAACACAAGCCTTAAAATAGTAAAAATGTATGTATCTCTTTAGCTTTCATTACAATCTACCATTTACTAATGTATTTTGTATATTGTCACTGAGTCAAAGACAAATGGTATCAATTGTTTTCCAGTTGAATGACAGTGACTGGTACCTGTGGGTGGTGAGTATTGAACCTTGTACTATCAATGTAATATCGACACTGCTATTGGATTATTGTGTTATATCATCGCACAGACAGAGAATCAATCTGAATGACAGTGACTGGTGGATATTGCATCATGTGGTATAGAGGCTGTGCTGATTAACCGTTGTGTCATATTTCACCTAAGCCTGACTCATACTATTGCTTATCTCTACTCATTTCCGAGAATTGGAAACTTTGTGAACTGTGTTCCCGGAGAGCAGAAAAAAAGCTAACCAAATACATCCTTTGTCTGCGCAAGCGCACTGGAAACAGGTGACCAAATCGGTATACACGTCATTCTCTCTTTTCTCGTAGCAGGGGAAGAGGGGACGGCTCGATAGTGCTATGACATGAGAATTTGTTAAGATTTGTGTTAAAGTCTTGTATTTGTTTCAGCCAATATATGTTATCCCCGCTGTGCTGTGTCTTCCGATCATTGCAAAACCAAGCTTGTCTGGTGAGTGTGTGTTGTGCTACCTGCAAGGCCTGATGTTTTCTATTTCATTTTGCATGTTAAGTTGGTGTGTGTCACTAGAACTCCAGTAACTGATGTGGCAAACAGACAAAATTAAAATAGTAAAAGATTTATGTTCCATCCAGTCGTCATGGCAACTCATGTCAAGAGAAGGGACTGTATAAAGAGTATGGTATATATATATTCAACATAATCTGTGCCATATTACCCACGACTGTTACCTTCTGTAATACACTGATCAACATTGTATCAATATGTTGACCTCTTGGGACCAACAGTGAAAGTATAATGTGTGCATTTACTGTGTCTGGTTCCAGATCTTTTTGTTCCCTGATTAGCATAGATTGGCGGATACATTTTTAGTGTGTGCAAATCTCATTGTTTCTTTTTTATTTGGCCAAGAGGTGGAAAGTAACTGCTTATTCTTTGCAGGATGTTAGATATTTTTACAGTGACATCATTGTATTTACTTCTGTCAGAGAAGGCCTTTGTCTCCTCACCTGCATTTGCTACACTGTTTAACAAGGTTCCATTTACCCTTTAATCTTTCTAATCCAAGAAAGATAGAGTGGTGGTGAGAATAATGAAAACATAAACTATTTTTTGTTGTTGCTTTGGATCAGGTTATTTGAACCAGTCGCCGGATTGAAAGTATGTGTTTGTTTTACAGAAAATAAGATAGTAGGATGGATGTCGGTGGTGCACTTCACACTGTGTCTAGCCTACTCCGGGTACCAGATCATCACCATGATCCAAGTCATTAGTGGCCGCATCGGGAACCCGCTTCAACACGAGGAGGGCAGGTGGGCCGAGCACCTTCATATATACACCGACAGGGAAATATGAAACCGTATCAAACAATAGGAGATGTCAGTTTTGAAAATTGAATATAAACAATCATTTAATTGTCATTTATATTATTTATCTGTCATTTTGAAATCAACCAAAAAAACTGGGTGAATTTTAATAGTTTTCATTATGGAAGGTTTGTGCTGGAATATCTCCTTATCGTGTTGTCATGGTTACAGAGAGATGGGAGGTTTGCTGATCATCATCACATGGTTGGGGATCTGCAGATTCACATCACTAGGGAGGTATGTGTGTGCCGTCACTCCACCAGTACACTGTTTCCCTGTATCATAACATCTTGTGACAGCTTTGACTCGTAGTAGCCGCCTTGACTTGTGGTAGCCGCTTTGACAAGTGGTAGCCACTTTGACTCATGGTAGCCGCCTTGACTCGTGGTAGCCGCCTTGACTCGTGGTAGCCACCTTGACTCGTGGTAGCCGCTTTGATTAGTGGTGGCTGCTTTGACTAGTGGTAGCTGCTTTGACTAGTGGTAGCTGCTTTGACCAGTGATAACCACTTTAACTAGTGGTAGCTGCTTGACTAGTGGTAGCCGCTTTGATTAGTGGTAGTTGCCAGAACTGAAGATGCAAGAACTAGCAAGAAAATACCTTGCAATACCAGGTACAAGCTTGAGTTCAAAGAGAGCCTTTTCTGCAGCTGGACAAACTATCTCGGAGAAACAATCAGCTCTTAACCCCAGCACGGCTGATGCCATAATATTTCCCAATAAGAACCTCAGGTGTTCACCATCAAGCAAACCCAAGGTATCTGACATGCAGGGTGCGTGTGTTGATCTTCCCCGCGCCGTGGGTTGGATTTTCAAAATTTTCAGAGGGGGCATGCCCCCAGAACCCAGAGCAATCTTGGTCGCTTTGCGGCCTTGACGAATACTCGAGGAACTCATGAGTAGTGGGGTATGAGTACTCGAGTATCATTTTCTCTACCCGTTTCAGCCCTACCTGCAGGTCAATAAATAACAAGTGATTCTGTGGCTAACTAAGCCACTTCTTTTCAGTTTATGTTTTAGTAAACTGAAAACAAAGGACTACTGTTAAGGCTAGCTGGTTGGCTGATAATAGAATGGGCTGGGCTAGTGTTGCATTGTGGGATGAATGATGTCACTGGTTTCATGTTTTTCTACAGTATTTTGGTGTTAATGATTAATTTATTCACAAGAATTGACTTCAATGTGCTTTTTGTGTTTATTGAATTATCAACTTAAAAATAGTGTGTACAATTTCCATAAATCTTCTAAATCTTGTGTGCACACCAGTGTTTATGTTCCATAAATGCAAAATACTTTGAAGTCAATTCTTAAATAAATCCACATATCCCGGTAAGTTAAACCTTACTCCTGAGAACCATCAAACGTGTTGAACAAAGCATCATATTAACCTCTCTATGTATGTATATTGCGCAGGCCTCACACGACTGCCATGAACCGGTCTCTGATGAATGCCCTGGTCCTCATGTCGCTGACGCTGGCGGTGCTGCCGCTGTTCACCTGGGCTCTGTGTTTTGTGGGGGACTGGCATCAGAAGCTGGGACACTGCAACGGCATGTTTAGGTCCTAGGACGGAGAGGAGGACAATGATGAGTCAGTGTGTTGGATTTAACGCCACTTGGAACAGTGTTTCAGTTATATCATGATGTGTCCGTTGGGACATCTGGGAGGAAAGCCTGAAGTGATGCAGGCCTTGGATGTTTTCCACTTTGAAGAAATGCATGAGTGTGGTACGGGCAAACCGAGAACCATGATCAGGGGAATCTGGGAGTCAAAACACATGATCATAGGATTCTGGCACACCTAAGGGATGCAACTCTGCACACGGCAAATTGTGACACATTAGAAGACGGGGCCACATGTGCCCCCAATGATTAAGATGATGATGATGATGATGATGATGATGATGATGATGGTGGTGATCCATGCCGGCATTGTTCTTATGTACTACTCAACTTTTGATAGAGTTACTTATATTATTCCATGTTATGCCAAAGCAGTAACTCATATGTAACTAGTATGCAGTATCTTCGTACACCTCAAAAGTTGTGTGGTATAAGTGGAATTGATGAAAAGGAGGCGGTGAAGTTACTGGTAACAGAGATAATTCCCCGTCATCAAACCGCTTCTGTTGGACCTGTTTGACAATGACCTTCCAATAATGTTTGAAAGCTTTATGATCATACTGTTAGAGATTATTTATAAAAAAGGGTATGTGCAAGAAATGAAAATAATATGTCATGTTATATTCAGCAACACATCCAAAAAACACCTACACTGTTGACTTTGATTTGTAGTTTACATGTTGACTGAGTCATGACAAAGGGCAAACAAAGTTATTAAATATATTATTATGCCGTTTAATGCTGCAAGCAGGAACATTCCACCGATACTATGGCAATCAACTAAGTGAGTGAATGTTGTTTTATTCAGAGGCTGCAATATTTCACCTGTATTTCAGCAATCTGTAAATAATCAACTGAGTGAGTGAATGTTGTTTTATTCTGAGGCTGCAATATTTCACCTGTATTTCAGCAATCTGTAAATAATCAACTGAGTGAGTGAATGTTGTTTTATTCTGAGGCTGCAAATATTCCACCTGTATTACTGCAATCTGTAAATAATCAACTGAGTGAGTGAATGTTGTTTTATTCTGAGGCTGCAATATTTCACCTGTATTACAGCAATCTGTAAATAATCAACTGAGTGAGTGAATGTTGTTTTATTCTGAGGCTGCAATATTTCACCTATATTACAGCAATCTGTAAATAATCAACTGAGTGAGTGAATGTTGTTTTATTCTGAGGCTGCAATATTCCCCCTATATTACAGCAATCTGTAAATAATCAAATCTTGGCTGTGTAAATCAGTGGTTAACAGACATATTCAAGTCCGAGTGGCGCACAGTCATCTAGGTCACACTTTGTCACCATCCGATGCTTATAGTCTCTCTTATGACAAGTGTGGTTATGCTGGGGACATAGTCTACCCCAATCTCATTAAAATCTGACCTTAGTTCTAAACAAAGATCTGAGGACATCCCATTACGGGTCACGTCAGAACGACCTTTCATACGACCAATCAGAGCATCGCTAACCTGATTATGAAAGTGACAGTCAGAATGTGATTTCTGATCATGCAGCCTTGAAAACTTTAACTCCGAACGATAGTTACTGGTTTAACGACTGTATCCATACAATCTAGACCATCTATTAGCCATTCCAGAATGTTCTTTTGTTCAGGTTTCAAATTTGTAATCGGCAATTTGTCAAAATATGTTTCGAAGCGTATAGTCGCCAATTTGAAATTAGTGCCGTAAAGCACGAGAAAGCTGCCTTCTGATTGGTCATTCCATTGGTCAGTCAAAGTTTGCGCAAGGTCGGTCTGACGTGACCCATAATGGGATGTCCTCAGATCTTTGTTTAGCGGTAGCGAGAACTAGGATCTGATTTTAATGAGATTGTATTCTACCCCGGTTTCTTCGATGGGAAGTATTAACGGAGGGGAAGTGATTTTGTTGTGAATAATTTAACTTATGATCTGATAGTGATGGTGATGGGCCTGCTATCCTGTGGGTTTCCTCAATACTCCATATTGTTCTACACACAGGGAAATTGGCATTCATTGTTAAGAAACTGACACAGTGACATTTTATGTTAGGCAGTTATTTATTTGTCAGTGAACTTCAAAGAAAGGTTTCATAACAATCACAATTGGCATTTTTGATGTCTTTGTCCGGAATTAAGGAAGGGGACATGTAAAGGCTCCTGCCTGTACGTGCTACGCGTGGTTTCAATGGTCTCAGTAATGTTGTAATAATCAAGTGTATGTTTACTGTAAATACCTCGGCATAGAGTGTAATTTTGTATGACCATAAAAATGTCAGCTAAATCCTTGTAAATTAATGTCACTTAATATGTTCCCAAAGTCTAAATCTTTTAACTTTAGGACTACATGTATCATAATTTATTTGAAAATATATGAATGCACTAATAATGTTAACTGAATTAAATCATTTCTGTTTTTTAACGTTATAAAAAGACAACAAAAAAGTTTTTTTATATGTCCACATGTTTCCATGAAAATATTGTTAGCTAGTGTACACAATGTATATGTATGTTTCTAGCAATTCTGACACCATTACTCTGCCAAGACAGGAGTCAAATAGAGGAAAGTGTTGTCTTAAAGCATTAGAAGTCAGAAAATAATTCAATGGCAAGGTCTTTGTGTATATAAGGAAACAATTGGTGGGGTGAAACGATACAGCAAGGTCACATAGGTCACGATACCATATGTATCTTCTTGATAGGCATTTAGAAGTTGGAGTTCTAAGTAAGGAGAGGATTTATGGATGAACAACTTGAAATTGTAATAAAGAAGTTGTTCATCCATAAGTCATATCCTTACCATATGTATACGCATATTACGCCATACACATATTTACTTCAAATTGCTTCGAAACTTCTTGACTATTAATATTACATAGTAGGTTCAAAAGGAAAAGCTAGCTGCAGACACATGTTTGTAGGGGCAATTTTTTTTTAGTGAACTTGACACGCTAATTACAAGACATTTTGCAATATCTGACTGACAAAACTGCTGGGTGGGTCGCTGAATCAGTAGTAAGTAATATATATTAGCCAATGAATTTATTGATGCATGAAAACTCACGATGCACTGATGTATTTTTCACCACAAGACATGGCATATTTCCATAATATTTTACAAGATTTTAGTAAGTCTATTTAATAAGTCCCTGTGTGTGTTTCCTGTGTGGTTACACTGTCATTCATTGAAGCAAATGTTACTTGCCATTTTAAAGAACATATTGATAATATTTTTGTTCTATTCAGTATTTTTGTTCAAAACAGTATTTTTTGTTTGTCAACTTTATCTGCTGTCTATGAACACCCTTTGATGATGTCACCATATCAGTCCCACCGTTTACACATGTATCTTGGTGTGAATAAACCTACAGTTTGACTTTGTAATAAATATATTTTTCCCTTTTCATCTGCCTTGGTTTTTGTCAGTGTCATATTTCAACTGGTAAGTGTAATATCAAAGCTAATATCTCTATTGCACAAACACTTGGAGGTAGAGAATGAAGTCTTGTGTTGTACACAGACACTATGAGGTAGAGAATGAAGTCTTGTGTTGTACACAGACACTTGGAGGTAGAGAAGGAAGTCTTGTGTTGTACACAGACACTTGGAGGTAGAGAAGGAAGTCTTGTGTTGTACACAGACACTTGGAGGTAGAGAATGAAGTCTTGTGTTGTACACAGACACAGTGAGGCCCTTGTGAGGTTGTCACTGAGGCCCTTGTGAGGTGGTCAGTGAGGCCCTTGCGAGGTGGTCAGTGAGGCCCTTGTGGTGGTCAATGAGGCCCTTGTGAGGTGGTCAGTGAGGCCCTTGAGAGGTGGTCAGTGGGGCCCTTGTGAGGTGGTCAGTGAGGCCCTTGTGAGGTGGTCAGTGAGGCCCTTGAGAGTTATGTCAGTGAGGCCCTTGTGAGGTGGTCAGTGAGGCCTTTGAGAGGAGGGTCAGTGAGGCCCTTGTGAGGTGGTCAGTGAGGCCCTTGTGAGGTGGTCAGTGAGGCCCTTGAGTGTTATGTCAGTGAGGCCCTTGAGATGGGTCAGGGAGGCCCTTGTGAGGTGGTCAGTGAGGCCCTTGTGAGGTGGTCAGTGAGGCCCTTGTGAAATGGTCAGTGAGGCCCTTGAGAGATCAGTGAGGCCCTTGAGGTGGGTCAGTGAGGCCCTTGTGAGGTGGTCAGTGAGGCCCTTCTGAGGTGGTCAGTGAGGCCCTTGTGAGGTGGTCAGTGAGGCCCTTGTGAGGTGGTCAGTGAGGCCCTTGAGAGGTGGTCGATGAGGCCCTTGAGAGATCAGTGAGGCCCTTGAGGTGGGTCAATGTGGCCCTTGTGGGGTGGCCTTGAGAGGTTAGGTAGGGAGGCCCTTGAAAGGTGAAAGGTGGGGCAGTAAGGGCACTGAGAGGGGGGAGGGGGCACTTAGGCCCTCGAGAGTTTGGTTATTGAGGCCCTTGAAATATTAGGATGTGATGAAACACATAGATGAGCATGGTGAGAATTGGTCCCTATAAACCATAAACTGTCAATGTACAATTGGAATCGTAGCAGATCTGCTGCCAAGCCAAATCAATAAATTTTAGTCCTAAGGAAATGGTGTATGCCAGAATCTATATATTCATGAATGCCTAAAATGACATGACTTATTTTTTAGCTGACAGATTGTACTTGCAAGTAACAGCATGTTTTATTTCAAGGAAACTGCATTAATATAATAGATCTTTTAGAGCTTATTTGCATTGAGGGGTCATTTTATTTTAGGGATAGGGAAGATTAGTGACAAAATTATTAGGGGAAGGCGGTAAATGACAAAGTTCCCTGCCTCCATCTAGCAGTCATGTAGAATCTAGAATTCTAGATCTAATTCAAATTACATAAAATCTGAGAATAATTCTCTTACCATTTTATTATTATTAAAAATTATTTTTTTTATAACAACTGTCATTTTGTTAATACCGTATTCGACGTAATAAGCGCCCAGGGTGCTCTCAAAATTAGAAATAGGGGGCTGTTATTAGAATTAGAATTTTGGTGAGATTAAAAACGAGGTTGAAAGATTGTAAATTTTATGGTTTATGCTGACAGCCTGAAATGATAAAAAAGAAGAATGTGTGTATTATACACGATAGATATGTTTTCGAGAATTTAATTGCCCGTAATTAAGGGTGCATATAACAAACGAGTGCATATTATACACGAATAAATAAGTCTTGTGTACATTGATCAATCGGAAAGGTTGCTAACTGGGATTGTTCACTAGCCAATATATTAGCAAATATCGCCGTGGGCGCTTATTAGAGCGGAGCGCTTGTTACGTCCAATACGGTAACTGGTTTGTTCTTTATGGTACTTACGGTATGAGATGGAACCGGAAGTACAAACACACGGTGGATTATCTCCCTTATGTAAGATGGAGCATGACACGTATTTGTTTTTGTTTACCCGCTCCCGTTAATAAACAACACTTGTCGCAAGTATGATTTACCTTTTAATTGAAAACTGTGAATGTGAAAAGAACACATGTACAAAGTGTAATTATTGCCATGATTAATATGACAGGAAATAATTACTCGAGTCTATAAGAAACACCGGACCAGAAACGCCAAACTGATGGCATGCCATGCCGATGGCACCATTTGAACATCCTAGGAAATAATTTGATCAAGTTCGAAATTCTATTAACAGACAGTAGTACGCCTAAGTAGACAATGAAAAATGATTGTATGATATTTATATCGATGATGTGGCATTTGTTTGCAAGTGTTTATAAATCTTAATATCGTGTTTGAAAATGTGATTTGTAAGCGAAGTTCTGCACCAAGTTCATGTGCTTTATTTATAATAATTCTTATAAAACTTCTAAGAAATGGTCTCTTCATGAGATTCACTCCTGCCTGTTAACACGAATAGGAAATGATGGTGCTAATGTATGCAATATTACACCTTGTGAGACACAGTATTCAATATTTTACCTTCTCTATGTTTTTACTTTTAGGGTGATATTTTCAAGAAATCAAAATTACTTCTGATGTAGAAGGTGGCACCTCAGAGCACAATATCAAAATGTCTTCAGGAAACTGGCCTTACATCCTCAACCTAGGAAACAGCATCATTGGGGTGGCTGTCCTAGCAATGCCCTTCTGCTTCAAACAGGTAAACACTTTCGTTACTATCTTTTTATTTATGTGATTCTTGCTATCAGCTGTAACAGGAATGTAAATTATTTTTATTCTGCACAGCATTTATTTCTGCCCATTTGGTGAAGGTCTGTCTGACTTGACCCCCTCGAATTCTGATAATTTGATCCTTCTAACTTAATGTTGAATAGTTTGCCTGGGTAAATTACTTACCCAGGGACAGTATTATCACTTCCTCGCCCATGAGATAACTTTTATTCTCTAAAACCTGCAGCTCAGTAGCCTTGTGGTTAAACAATAGGGGTTTAGGGTGACTTTGCTCAGTCAAATTGTCAGTCCTAGCAAGTTACATTTCAGTCTTTCAAAGTCTTTTTGTATATCAATCATACATTTAATGGTTACCCTGTTACTCAGAAACAATATCTCAGTTTCACATGTGTCACTAATTACAGAGACTGTGGAGCAAAGGCCCTCATAAATTAGCTCCTCATGATTCTGTAAACCCTGGTAAGATTAAAAAACTGTACACACCCACTGTAAATCCTTGACGTTTGTTCCTTTCAGTGTGGCATTGTTCTTGGTATTGTTCTGCTGCTTTTCTGTACCTGGCTGACCCTGGTGTCATGTCAGCTTCTCATGAAGGCTGCAGCCGTCAGCAGGAAGAGGTCGTATGAGTTTCTAGGTATGGTTGAATCACGAACTGAATGTTGAGATGTTTTAAACTTGGCAACACAGCAGTCTGATTTACCCCAGTTGTAGACTAGACTGTTGTAGATCAGGCCATTTAAATAACACGTTTATAATAATATTGAGGTATTATTACTTATTGACCAACTCAATTTCTGTGACAACTGTGGAGATTTTCTGGTGATAATATATGTTCCCAGCAACCTGTGCTTGTCTTAAGAAGTAAACCCATTAAGATCCGGGGTAGAATAGGTCTTCGCCAACCCATGCTTGCCGTAAAAGGAGACTATGCGTGTCGTAGGAGGCGACTTAAGGGGTTGGGTTATCAGGCTCGCTGATTTGGTTGATGCATGTCATCGTATCCCAATTGCGTGGATCGATGCTCATGATGTCTATCACTGGATTGTCTGGTCCAGATATGATAATTTACAGAACACCGTCATTAATGCCATGAATGTTGCTGAAGAACAAACAAACAACTGGTAGTTACTACCTGTGTATGGGGACAATGTCTGGGGAAATGGGATTTACAAAATAATGTTTTACAATAATGTTTCCATGGTTGCCATGTCTAACAAACAAACAGAGCAGTGTTTCTCTTGATTCCTGTATATTTAATGGAATTTTAACAATAAAAATACTTATATCCATTCTTTTGATGAGTCATATTTTATGCAACATATTTTTATCAGTAGGAACTAGTTCCTACAAAAACATTAATGTTAAAAATACAGTAACCACGGTAACAGCAAATGTTTATTTTTTTATTTTTATGTGCTTGAAATCAATGTTGTTTTCTCTGATCAATATTGTGTAGGTTAAAGTTAAGCTTTGATTGTCTGGGTGATTCACTATGGCTGATTCCGTCAGTCAGTTTTGTAACTGGAGTAATAGTTGAGACTGTAGCCTGAATATTTTTTCAAGGTTCTGCTTGATGGTCTGAAATCATGTTTTGATGTCAGTATGATATCTCAGTAGGAGTATGACTAAGTGTGACATGTTTCTTGCAGCATACTACACTTTCGGTGCTGCCGGCAAGTTTGTCATTGAAGTCGGGTAAGTGTCACTAACAGACAGTTAGAGTATGATGATGATAATAACAATAATATATTGTAATTATATGAACTCCACTCAAATGGTTCACGAGGCTTGATGTTGTCTTTACACATGTGAAAGTCCTCTTAGTCCAGTGGATAGAATGCACACCTGGACTGATAATATAAGGGTAACGCTATTTTTCAGGGCATTACCATTTGCAGAAGCCTGAGGTCTTCCATTAACTGCCCAACGAAGGAGGCTTCTGTAAATGATAATGCCCTGAAAAATGGCGTTACTGTTATTATATCTAAAAAATGGATGGAATTTGTTATCAAATAAAAAGAAAAACCATTGCCGGTTTTGGAACATTTACTGCAATCAACACAAATGTCACTGACCCACTTTTACAAATATGGAAATGTCATAGAACAAACCAGATGACGTCACTATTAAACGTGACGTCACCTATCCCTATTCTATGACGTCACCTAGCAACAGGCGTGGCCCGTTGTCAAGCAATATGAGGGCATTATCAAGTTACAGTGGCCCGCTCATTTCTAATAACATGCGGGCGGTTTTATGATAACTCTATCCATTTTAGCTATAATCAGAATTAATATGCCTTTACAGTAAATAAAGAAGTTGTTATCCATAAATTGTGTCTACTTTGTCATCCATCAACTTCTAAGTCATGCTTGTGATACAATTTATACCTGGAGAGTGTAAGGTCGGGGGTTTGATCCCCGGGTGTGTCATGCCACGAGACGTTAAACATGGTTCTTGTTTCCTTGCTTGACGTTTGGCATGAAAGCAATAAAACAAGGACTGGTCGGCTCAGAGTACATGTGTATGAGTGGGTATCCATGTTAAACTGCGGCATGGTATCTCAGTGGTCTAGCACTATAAAACCAGCTTTTATCCATACTAGTACATGCACACACACACACATGCTTGCACATCGCTATATATGTGTAATGATCTTGTACTTGAGGGTAAGCATATTTCCACTGATTTCATTCAGGAAGCGTCTGTTTCTGTGCATCAAATGGCACTGGTAGAAACAGTTACAAACAAGTCAGGTTTCTGAAACCAGTGATGCATGACTGCTTCTGTCCACAGCATGATAGGGCTGCAGATCGGGACACTCATTGCGCAGATCGTGGTCATTGGGGACCTGGGGCCAGCCATTGTGTCCAAGGTGTTGGGGGTGGAGGTAGGTAACATTTCATGTTGTAATTCTAATTCATACATCCTCTCCAAACTTTCACTTCAAGCAAAACATGTAAACAGGAAGTTTTTTCAGTGACACTCAGAGTTTGGTGATCGTGATGGTGATGTGTCACGTAAAGAAGTTCAAGGGTGTAGTTAGCTGTTACCAAATCCATTTTCATGCTAATTAAGAAGCCCCATGTAAATGGTTGTGCTTTAAAGTTTTGTCGGAATTTGACCTCTGAGTGCATGGACGTCTCAGAGGTATCAAATGAACTATGTCTCCTTTATAGGGCCGTGGACTTGTTCGGTAATGTCAGTGGTTAATGTCTTCTTCAAGGTCATACCGCCAAGGAAAGTTTGTCTATCTGTTAACTTGAGAAGCATGTATTTGTCCGCTTGGTACATGTCATATTTAAAGTCTAAACAGGTCCTGATTAGATTATATCAACATGAACATGGGTACTGGGCCATCCAACATAGTCCTCCTTTATCAGTGACAGATGTACAGGGTTTGTTTAATCATGCAAGGCTCAATTAAAAAGTCATAAATGTGGGAAGGATAAGTTGAACAGATATTATTTATTTTGTGTTGATGTTCCAGAACACACCCCACCTGCGCACATACCTCATTGTGTTCCTGTGTCTGTGCGTGGGGTTGCCTCTCGGACTGCTCAAAGACCTCCGCAGCGTCAGCAATGCCAGCACCATCTGCATCTGCTTCTACACCGTCTTTGTCTTCTATGTGAGTAGTTATAGTTGGTAACCTTGGTGACAGTCTCAGTGTTGTAATTGTGTGTACTCTGCCAGTGGACATGGTTGCTATAGGGTGGCTGTCGTTCCCATGGTAACAACTTTACTATTTGCTTGTGATATGAGCTGACTCATGAGGATCAGATGGTCACAATGTGTCACTTTACTCATTGGTTGTCAAGGAAACCATCAATGTTGATAGGTTCTTGTTTTATCAGGCAATGGTGTGTGTGTGTGCATGCATGTGTGTGCGTGCGCTTGCACTTACCGCCAAAATAAACGAGACCCATAGAAATATATAGAGAAGTATGCACGTAAAGAAGTGGTGTTTCCGATGTGTACCAATTAATGACAAAACTAACGATGAGTCAAGTGTTACCACAGAGTGTCTTTGTTCTTATAACGATATGCTGCATACGCTTTCCTTTACACGCTAAACACCAATCTAATGTCTCTTGAATGTGCATAATTCTTCATATATTAACCAACATGTATGGTATTTGTGTTTCTTTTGTCGGCGAGTTTATCAGTGGTGGGTATCAACCATCTGTTTCCATCTCTTTACATGTTGTAACTTCTGCATGTGTCGATGAAATGTACATTTACACCCATGGGAAGAGTTATCTAAGTATGGTGGCCGGAAAATATTTCAATGTAATATTGTTTAATGGTGAAGGGTGACTTTCGTCTTCAGCTTTGATGCATGTCTTTTTTTTGTTGCATGTTGTCTACTGTTTCTTCCTGGCAGGTGTTGACCCTGTCCAAACCCAACTTGTGGTCTGGAGAGTGGTATTCTTCAGTGCGGTTCTGGAGGCCTCAGGGACTTTTCCAAACTCTTCCAATATTCTCCTTCTCTTTCGGGTGTCAGACGTAAGTACTTCTCCTCAACAACTAACTGTATCATTTCTCCCCAGGTGCTGACATTATCGGGTTCAAACCTGTGGACAGGAAGCTGGTACCATAAGGTGGCATTCTGGAGACCAGAGGGTCTTTTTCAGACTCTACCCATATTCTCTCTGTCATTCGGCTGTCAGACGTGAGTAACTGTGTCTGCATCTTCCCGAGGCAAGGGAGGTAACTGACTGTAAAAGTCCAGTTTCCACCCTTGCCGAACAAGGCTGGAGTTTCTGGGCTCGATTGTAGCGCGACCAGTGGCTATCTATATAGTCAATTAACGCCCTTGCTTTGGGAAGATGCTGTCTGGTGATCTGGTCAGCATGAGGATCACCCCTACACACCCTCCCCGTACTAGCTCCTTCCCTGCAAGTGACATCTATGTCACCCTCCAGGTATCATCGCTGCCACCAGTGTGCACTGCAAACAGCCATTACAAGAATCTTGAATATTTTCCCTTTAACCCAAATGTAGTGACATTTATATTCTTGTCACCCTCCAGGACCCACTTGCACAAAGCAATCTTAGCGCTAAGACTATCTTAAGCCTATGTTAAAGAATGGGAGTTATGATCATCTTAGCGCTAAGATTGCTTTGTGCAAGTGGGCCCTGGTATCATCGCTGCCACCAGTATGCAAGCGGCCATTACAAGAATCTTGAATATTTTACCCCTGACTACATATGTAGTGACATTTATGATTTTGTGTATGTCTTTAAGAATGCTATTCTAGTTAATTGGGAAACTATTACTGTCACTATTTCTCAGAGTAATTTACTTTTGTTTAATCAGATTGGTTCAAGATTGCAAATTGGCCCGAGATAGAGGACGAACTCTTGCATTCTCACTAAACTAATAACATGATAGTTGAAATGAAATAGAAATTCAAATTGACAAACAAACAAAACAGTTTAGCTGGGGTAAGAATATCTGGTGTCATGACAATCGGCATTTGTATGTAAACATAACGGCCAGTCAGAGTTCAGCTCCATGCATAGTTGTTGCTACCTAGTAGAGTGGGGAGCTGTGACATGTGACAGCAATAGTATGGGGAGCTCCACAAACAATGCGCTGTGAGGAGCTTGTCCCCTTCACTACTCTGATCCTACCTTCCTTACAACATCCTCACACCTTTCCCTGGGTCAGACATTGCATGCGATCTTATTCCTCTATTGGTCAACTGTAGACCAGAAGAACTTTTTCATTGGTTGAGCCTCAAGATTAAGTTGTATGTTGCGCAGTGCAACTATGTTACAACTAGATCAAGTTTTATGTTGCACAGTGCAATATTGTTACCACTGGTGCAAGTTTTATGCTGCACAATGCAACAATGTTACCACTTGATCAGTCATGTTTATTTGCATGTGCAACTCTTAAGTATTTAGTGTTATGTGCTGCACAATGCAACAATGTTACCACTTGATCAGTCATGTTTATTTGCATGTGCAACTCTTAAGTATTTAGTGTTATGTGTTTCACAGTGCAACAATGTTACCACTTGATCAGTCATGTTTATTTGCATGTGCAACTCTTAAGTATTTAGTGTAATGTGTTTCAAAGTGCAACAATGTTTCCACTTGATCAGTCATGTTTATTTGCATGTGCAACTATTAAGTATTTAGTGTTATGTGTTTCAAAGTGCAACAATGTTACCATGTTTCCTGGTTGTTGCAGTCAACTGTTCCTCCTGTATGACTCCCTGCCGGAACCAACACTCAAATCAATCAATGGTGTCACCAGCAGCGCTGTCAACCTCTGTGCCGTGGCCTATTTATTGGTAGGAACAGGCATCTTTATGTTGTCTTTAAAATACAACCTATGCCAATAAAAAAAACATACACAAGTTAGGTTAGGTTATTTGTTGTTTAACACCACACTCAGCAATATTCCAGCTATGTGATGGCAGTCTGTAAATAATTGAATCTGGACCAGACAATCCAGTGGTTGACATCATGAGCATTGATCCACGCAACTGGGATACGATGACATGGATCAACCAAGTCAGCGAGCCTGACCATCCGATTCCATTAGTCGCCTCTTACGACAAGCATAGTCACCTTTTACGGCAAGCATGGGTTGCTGAAGACCTATTCTCACCCGGATCTTCACAGGTCATACTCAAAAGATGTCATATGAATCATGTTATTTCATCGTAGGATATTAAAGCATGACCTACTCTAATTCAATAGTTGCAATTACATGGCTCGAATATTTAGGTTTAGTTGATACCAACACTTGTCAGTTTGTTTGGCAGAGTGAGTATTATTTGTCATGTTCTTGTAAAAATATTTCAGGGTTGGTGGGGTAATCATTTGAAAATCTTAATCAAGTGCATTTATTTTCAATACATTTCTTATCTTTGAGAAAATTTCCATTGTTGAGCATGTACATTTATTGCATTTAAGTAAATTGTGACATCATTGGATAACTATTATATCCCCAGGTTGGATTCTTTGGTTACATTGCCTTCTACGACAAAGACATCGGCGGTGACATCATCACTCTGTTCCCTGCCACATTCGCGGCAGACATGATGAAGCTGCTGTTTGTGGTCTCCATTGCCGTCACCTTCCCCCTCATCATCTTCCCCTGCAGAGCCAGCCTCTACACGCTGCTCTTTCCCCAGGTACCGAGTATTTCATTTTCTGAGATAAAGGGAGTGTGATGCATTTGCTGGTTATTGCTTCTGAGCTCTTTGATGGATGGTGGATGGCCACCAAGAAAGACTGACTCTCAAATGGGACCAGATCATGTCACAATGGTAGGCCTCTGGTCTATGTCTACCTAGATAATCTACACTATTTCATCCTGTAAGGAACTGATCAATTATTATTTGGTGGAGGGTAGGGGGGGTGGGAGAAGGGGGATGGGACACAGACACACACACTCTCATACACTAACACACATACACACACAAAAAGCAGACAGACAGACACACACACTCTCTCACACACACAGTGCCTCAGTGTGATCCTGTTCTGAACAGACACATCAATGTTTTGTTGCAGCAGAAACAAAAGTCCTATGAAGACATTCAGGAGGAGAACCGCATGCCGGAAATCCATTTCAAGTTCATCACCGTCACCATCGTCATCTGCTCCATGATCACTGGCATCCTTGTGCCCAATGGTCAGTCATATGAAGTAGCTTGACAGCACCAGTTACTCAAGATTCTTTGTCTGATCATAACGAGGCTCTTCTATATATGCCCATACAGGAAAACTGTAATTGAATATGAAGACCATTCACCCTGCATCACAAGCTGGGCCTGAGACTGAAAGAGATATATTTTCAGTTGTGTAACTTTCAGATACATAGATGTGAATGCCTGTGTTTGTACTTACAGTTGAGTTTATCCTTGGGATGAATGGTGCCACGATGGGTACACTGATCTGCTACATCTTCCCAGCTCTCTTCTTTGTCCGCGTCATGGCAAACAAGGCCGAGGGTAAACACATAGCACAGGTGTGTACTCGGTCAGACTGGCCATGTGTGTGTCTGCAGGTAGTCAGTGTCTTGTTGTTACAGAATTAGTTAGGTATGATGCAGCTGCTTTCTTAGAAGTTGAAAGATGAGAAGATGAGAAAGCAGACAAACAAATAATAATAATAATAATAATAATAATAAAAAAAATAAATAAATAAAAATAAAATATAAATAAATAAATAAATAAATAAAAAATAATAATAAAATAATAATAATAATAATTATAATAAAGCCATTTATATAGCGCAAAATCCACATCACTGAGGGACATGCTCAATGCACAATCGAGTTGATTATATTACAGCTGGTGATGCTGCTGGGTATCACAATCCTGTTGGTCAGCACCTTCGCCACGCTGTACACCCAGGACAAGGGCCACACCCATCCTGTCGCCCCAAAAGTGCCCGAGGACCTTGCTGCCAACCTGGAGAACCCTGTCCTGAACAAGCCTGTCGACCTGCCGCCTGGGGGTACGTACAGTCTAGTTAGAGACTAGGCAATTCTAGTTAGTGAGGATTATGAATAATGACTGATTGTAAATGTCTGTGACTGAAAACTATTTTTTGATACAAAAAAAATGTTTGACATACACAAGATGATTATGTATTGAAGGTGTGTGAAAGTGTACAGTGGTTCTTGTTTTAGATGCTGACAGTAAGAATGAGAAAAGAGTTGAGCCTCCGGTACCTGATGCTCCTATAGAAAGTGTTGACAAGGTGGGTTTGTATTGGGTACAGAGTCTCAGCAGTTTTATGGAAACTATTCACCAGGTTTTGTGACATCCTTTCCTAATAAGAGCCACATTGTGTGATGCATTTACAAAGATGAGTCACTTTGCCTAGTACTGTTTCTAAAAGCGATTTGTTGTGCAAGGTTGTGTCACTAAGCCATGCCAAGAGAAGGCGGACATGGTTTTGTATACAATGTTCGATTTGATTATGATTATGATCCTTGGTCTGTAAGTTCCACACATGTTCTTGTTACAACCCGTGTCACACTGGGCACATCTCCCCTACATTTAGATGACAAACCATGATATTACTTGACATGAACCCAACTCACTCACTCTGTATACAGAAAGAAGAGAAGCCCAAGGAAAAGAAGTCCGAGGAACTGCCAAAAAAAGATGGCCTTGGTGATGCTAAAGTTCCTGACAAGGATGGACCGGTTGAGGGCAAGGGGAAGGAGATGGGCCGGGAGAAGAAGGACCTGAGTCAGGAGGTCAAGGCAGCAGGCGGGAAGGATGCTGCTGCTGCTGTGGAGAAGAAGGGGGAGGAAGTCAAGGTCAAGGTCAAGGAGGAGGTGCTGAAGGAGAGGGAGAAGAAGATCGAGGAGAACGAGCAGAAGCAGCAGGTGTTGCTGGAGCGGCTGGTGGAGCAGCAGGAGGAACAGAAGGAGCTGATCAAGGAGCAGAAGCAGATCCTGCAGGAGCTCAAGGAGCACAAGGACAAGGAGCACAAGGTGGGTCATGGAGCTGGAGATGTAGATCAGGGTGGATGAAGGGAACCTTAGAGAGTGTCAGCATATGGTTCTGCCTAGAACTGTGTGTTCTATAAATTCAACCTAATACCCGTATGTTTCATATAGCAATGCCATAATGGTAATACAATAATGGATGTTTTTCACCACAGTGTCACCTTTTATTTGATTTGATTCAGGATACTGATGGTGCAGATCAGGAAGGACAAGATGTCAATGATCCTGCTCAGGGTGCACAGCAACCATTTCCGGATGGACAAGGAATACAGGGCGCACAGCAACCAGTTCAAGGTGGACAAGACTTGCAGCAACCAGTTCAGGGTGGACAAGGCTTACAGCAACCAGTTCAGGGTGGACAAGGCTTACAGCAACCAGTTCAGGGTGGACAAGCAGGACAGCAACCAGTTCAGGGTGGACAAGCAGGACAGCAACCAGTTCAGGGTGGACAAGCAGTACAGCAACCAGTTCAGGTTGGACAAGCAGGACAACAACCAGTTCAGGGTGGACAAGGCTTACAGCAACCAGTTCAGGGTGGACAAGTAGTACAGCAGCCAGTTCAGGTTGGACAAGCAGGACAGCAACCAGTTCAGGGTGGACAAGCAGGACAGCAACCAGTTCAGGGTGGACAAGGCTTACAGCAACCAGTTCAGGTTGGACAAGCAGGACAACAACCAGTTCAGGGTGGACAAGGCTTACAGCAACCAGTTCAGGTTGGACAAGCAGGACAACAACCAGTTCAGGGTGGACAAGGCTTTCAGCAACCAGTTCAGGGTGGTCAAGGCTTACAGCAACCAGTTCAGGGTGGACAAGTAGTACAGCAACCAGTTCAGGGTGGACAAGCAGGACAACAACCAGTTCAGGGTGGACAAGGCTTACAGCAACCAGTTCAGGGTGGACAAGCAGGACAACAACCAGCTTTACAGCCAGCGAAAAACATCCAACAAAGTGTAAAACAAGTTGTAAAGCAGCCATTGCAAGGTAAACAGCTACAGGGACAACAGCTGGCTCAAAACAACCTTGGCATAGAAGGCCAGCAAGGTCAAGGTCAGCAGGCACCAGGGAACATCCAGTCACAAGGACAGCAGGCTAAGGTCAAGGTCAAGCAGGTTGCTGGGCAACAGGGCGATGTGGTCGTGCCTGTCCAGAACCTGAACAATGTTGGAGATGCTAAGAACGTCCCTGTTAACCAGGGTCTGGTGAATGATGGCATCCTCAAGAGGAACAAGCGAGAGGTAGATCCGTCTGTGGACAAAATTCTCAAAGAAGTGGAAACCCTTGATGGTCGAAGATTGGACAAGAGGGAAGTGATGAATGAAGCGCTAGCCGACAGACTGGTGGCCATCAACAAGGTGTCCAAGAGACGATAGTGATTTACCAAACACTTGTCAGCTGATACTACTTACAGAGATTGTCATACCCCTGACCTCAGCATGTTCTCATCTCAGAGGTCACTGCTAGGTACTCAGTGTTTCTTCTGTCATGACATTAGTCTGTATTTACTAGTAGGAAACTTTAAGGAAACAGGAATCATTTACTTCTTGGTCTTGGATGTTAGAACTTCAAAAAGAATGAATCCCTAGAGGGCTTGAGTTGAGTACCAGAGTGACATCTTTGAGGAAATTATTAATGCAGGGACGTATGAACAAATTGATAGAAGATCAGATCCGTAAACAGTGCAGTTGTCAGTGAGAAATGTTTTCATCAGTATTTTTCAGTGTTGTGAAAGGTGTTTTTGAAGTACTTGGAAGTGATTAACCACACTTACAAATGTATGTAACATGACATGATGATGCCTGCTAACCATCTTCATAATTTGTCAACACAATTTATCAATACAAAACATTCCAAGGATGTTGAAACATAGGTTAATAGGGATGTTTGAATTTGGGTAGTTTTGTCACAACAGGGACATCAAAGTTTGAATATTAATCATGTTGTGATTGTGGCATCGTATATTTAGGACAAATTAGGACAAAAACATACCCGTCTTTGAAAAATATTTTGGAAATTGAGTCCTTGATTAGGTCATGTCCTCTTAGCAAAGTTTTGCTCCGCTCATGCAAGGCAGACTATATATATATTGCAAATAGGTTTCATCGTATGGCAAAGGAAGACATCCACCAAATACTGTCAATTTCCAGACATTGCCTCTTGCGATAGCGATAGAATAAAAAACAGTACAATTCTTGTTTTCTTGCCATCAGAGCAATGCTTTGTTTCAGTGAATATTTATCAACATAGATGAAATTGTATGTATAATTACAGGGCAAGGGCAGTTTATTTACTATTATCAATTGGCAAGGGTACTATTTATAATTATTAATGGGTAAGGGAGATTTCTGTGTCAACCCTGTGATTCTGGCTAAACAGTTTTCAGTATTGTACTACAATCTATTCGTATCATGTCTAAGTATGAGCACCTGTTGTATCCGATTCATGGTTTGTTAGAAAGGGTCGACGTTGATCTGATCTGTTTGTTACCTCCATGGTGATGCTACTCATGACAAGTAAGCTTACTGAATCTTCATTGTAGTCGGTGTATATTTGTAATGTAAATATGTTCAGTTTGTCCATCTCATGTGTGTGAAGATCTATGAAAGGTCTTAGTGTTATATTTGATATTGAATGTAGACATTGTTGCAAATGGGAGCAATATCATCAACTTATTTTATGCCATTATTAGGAAAAGTACTTGGAATACAAACTTCAAGAAAGCCTCCGTTCTCTCATGGTGGATATAATCATTTCACCTTTTAGCTGTTTCAAATTTCTAAAGATATGAATAATTTCATTTAATAAGTTCAATTGTTTTTCATAGATGAATATTTTGTGTCATTTTCCATCTCCACACCTCTTTCAGGAAATTGTTTGTCAAGGAATAATAGAATAAGTGTGGCAAATCGATGTCATTTCTGGTGAGCATCGGGCAGAGGAAATCACAATGCATTTGATGTTAATAATGAATCCGTTCTTGCAACAGTGAGGAAATTCAGTCGAAATGCTTATAACGAACTACAGTTATAATGACCTAAAATTAGTGTTCCTTTGAGTTCGTTACAACCGTAGTTTACTGTGGATGAATGTGGATGAATGTGGGTGGGTTTTAAGAAAAATACCCCCAATTGTTGATGATACAGAGGAACCTAGTTTGTCCGGACACAGTTAATACGTTAATACCGAAACTACACCTTCAAGGAAATCACTACCAGTAACGTCTGGTCATGGTTAGAGTGATTAATTCACACAATTTCAAGCATTATAATACAGTCCGAACAAACAGGGTTTCAGATATTTTTGCACATATTTCCTATCGTATCATTTCTCCTACAACTTACAATGTACTTGTATGTATATACTGTACATGAACCTGCCTACAGTCCCTCACTGTCTTGTACACTTGTGTAAATAGCTGTCCATGTGCTGTCCATGTGCTGTGTTTCACAAATGTACATAGTAATCAAAGTGTTCAAAATAGTCACCTGCCACTTCACAAGCAGGAACTTTTTAAAACATGTTCTGAAAATTTCCCCTTTTCCCCATAACAGGAATAGTAGTCGCTGTCAACACTGGTACTGTAAGTCATGACCTTCTACACTGCAGTATCGTAGAAAAAGATGTCATAAAGTTAATTACAATTTTGTTAGTCAGGGCACCATTTTACCAGTTTGTACAAATATGTATCATCTGAGCTGACTTCACATACATGGTAAACAATAGGGCTGTAACGAATACACTATGACGCGAATACAATTCATATCACGAATATAGGGTAACGAATACGAATATTAATTTACGAATACAACAAGAAGTCAACAGTTGATGTATTATTGTTATATTCAGTGAAATAATAACAACATAAATTATTTGACTTGGTTTGTTAATAATTAATATAATATACATTTATATACTCCACTTATCCAGGTGCTAGTATCTGCTCAAATGACAATGACCAGTGACCACAATACTGTCATATTATATATTATAAGAGTGTTGTCTTTGGAGAAATCTATGCAAATATGTTCTTAAAGATATTTTTAGGTACAGGGTATGTAAATGTACATGATTGCATATTCATAAATATTCGATTCTAGTGGCCACGAATAACAAATTCAATTCATGAATGGATATGGTTTGATTCACCAAATACGAGAGTAAATCGTAACAGCCCTATTAAACAATGCCCATTGACTTCATAGTTAAACATGAAAGTGTTTTCAAGGTAGGTGTGAAGTGTTGGACACTTTACTAATATTACTGACATCTTCAGTGTTAGAACCGGACAACATCCAAGCCAACTGGAAGAAGGCGTCCTGCAACCCTACATTCACATGCTTGTCATGGCTTTGATGTGGTGGTACTATGGGCCGGTGGGAATAAACCTGAATCGCAAGTAGCATGGGCTTGTTGAACACGATGGCTAAAAAGTGATTATGGTCTGGTGTAATTTGTGAATATATTTCTATTTGCACAGTTTTAGCCAGTAATGCAGTATTTTAATAGCTTTACATCATGTGACTTTCATGTTCAAAGCTGCTATTTTCAACTCTGTCAAGGTAGACAAGGTAAACAAAGACAAAGTAAACAATACTGAAACTTTATTTTGTGAAGTATGGTCCTATATAAAAATGCAATATATTTTCTTATCTTTATTCAATGACTCAATAAAATTCAATGTGACGTGCTGGTGTCTAGTTGTCTTTATCCAACACTGACTCTATCAGGTATGTTGCTTCCTCTCGCGTAACTCAAACTGTTGTTTCTCATGATATGTTGTATGCATATTAGGCAACTTCTGAACTGTGCCCTTGGCTGATCAGAATTTTTAGAAACTATTTTTTGCATTTCCATGGCAACACATTAATATTAAGTATAAATGGGTTTGTTTCTGGAGCTTTAGTAATAACTTTTAATATTTCTTTATGAATTTTTGTATGCACATCAGGAAACTACTGCACTGGTGCTACATCAATTGGGACGCACCAGGCGGACATTTTTTATATAAAACGTGGGATGCATAAAACCAGTTATACCCCGAGCAATACTGCTACAACAAATTTATCTTGCCACATTACAATCTGCCACTGTAAAAGAATGAAAAAACACACCTGAAAATTGATAGAAAACAGCTGTTTGATTGTGCTGTGTGACATGACTTTCATAGACCTGAAAACAAGATGCAGCTTTTTGCTTTGTAGCTGGATATAAGGGATCTATTCTCCCACTCAGAAATATGTTTCCCTCCCGGGCGAGATGCACAGCATTTTATCATACCTCAGTGTCAGAATAATGAGATCTGATTGGTCCATTTGATCTTGATAAAATACTGTGTATCCCATCTTGGAGGGGAATAAATTTCTCAGCTGGAGAATAAATAAATAAATCCTTTATACCCTGTCACGGACAAGAGAGGCTGCTCATGGATTTCTGAGAGGCAGAATAAATCACTTATAACACGAGAAGTATGACACACAAACAACCTGACTAAAGAGGTCTAATTACCAGTTCTACAAGAATTGAAAAAAAGAAAACAAATCGGATCAAAGTTTAAATTTATTTTTTATAGTTACATTTGGTCAACTGTATAACACTGAGGCCATCCGAAATAATGAACTGTTGTCCAACATGGCTGCTACAAGTATATCCTCTCAACACACAATGGGGCTAGGGCCATTTGAAGTTAATGGTACTTGGTGTGGCGGTGATTTGCTGAAACAAAGGACATTTTTAAAACTAAGATCATGAAATATTCAAGCAGATTTATGTCCTCATCCTGGGCTAGTCATCAATTTCAGGTGAGTGGGCTTGTGTGTACACTAGCGGTTGGTTACATTTGACCACATTCTAAATGGCATTCATGTGTTCATAGCTTTTAGCCATGGGAGCCGTGCCAATTTACACTCATCAGAGGGCTACATATAGTATGTGATCTAGACAAGATTAGGTGCCTCACTCTGGCAGTGTGGGTTCGAATCCTGGATGGGACTCAACCCTAAGAAGTGCTAAAATATGTACTTTACTAAGAAAGTGTTATCCCAAATATAACATTTGTTAGCGTACACATGTTAAAAATTAACACTAAATCATGTTATTTTAGAATATTAAAGAAAAAAAGGAGGCATAAAATCATAACATATTTCAAATATGCATGGAATTGCTTAAATTCCACAAACTGACATCTCACACTTGCAGTTATGCATGAACAAGGATGACTGACATTCTCTTCAGAACATTCTCAATAGCATCATCAAGAAAGATATATTCCAAATATTTCTATGGAAAGACGATTGTGAGAAATGCAATACTCACTGTGGCCTCTGTACTGTAGAAAGTAGTAGAAAACAGACAACCCTACACAGACTTGCACCAATGGGGCCACGGAACCCCTCTTGACAAGCAAGTACTTCTCAGCCCAGCGCCAGTTAGCTAATCAACAAATAAGGAACACTATAAAGATAAAATCATTGGTATTAATACCTAAACATTGCCTTGATTAAATTTACGAATTGGAACAACTACTATATCCACTGGCAGCATGCAAAGTAAAAAAACAGGCCAACAATCTTTCTCTAATTGTCATGGATACAACAGCTCTAACTTAAAAACCCTTAAACTGTCTTATCATCAAACTGCATCACTTCAACACGTTCACATTTGTCTGCCCTTGGAATGTACATCACTGATACTTGTTTCAGTCAAAATCACCCCAAATGAAAATTAACAAAACATCTAACTATCAAAAGAAACAAACTCCCCAACAATCCTCCCATCAGTAGATCTAGGAGTGAAGGGAGAAACGATATGTATACTTTAGCATGTTTGGTATTGAGGATGGGGTTCAATGTAGCTTCACAAATGACAAGAACACTTTTGTATTGAAGTGTGGTATTGAAGACTTCTAAGTAATGCCTATCAAACAATTCAAAGTAGAGACAATTTATGGATTACAACTTCTTTATTTACTGTGAAGACGATGTTTAGGTATAGATCCTTATACCGTTGTCTACTTTGTCAAGTACTCACTTGTTCATGAGAAACTAGCTTAATTAGATTAACTCAAGTGTCATGAGCACGTCAATAAAGAGTGGTAAACACAGCTTGTTATTATCATTCACTCCCAGTTACGTGGACGAATAGTTGGAAGGCTAGGATAAAACTGAATGTCTGATTTGCTGAACGACTTGAACAGACAGATGCATAGACAGAGAAAGTACATTCTTCTGTTTACAGATAATGCTCCATCTCATCCAAACACCCTATTGAGCAACGTGAAGATTGAATTTTAGCTCCCAAATACATCTCTGTAATGCAGCCAATAACTGTATGAGTTATTACAGCGTTCAAAGCAGAGTTTCATAAGCTGCTCTTGAAATCACCTGTGTCTCAAATAGACTGTGTAATCCGGACTTCGCCATAAACCATAATTCTTTTAACAGTCCCAACTGAGTCTAAATTGGACAGATACCACTTATATATAAAAAACACTTTTTCAGAAATATTGAAACTTTATCAATACGATTATTTCTAGGCCAGCTGAGAAGGGTACAAGTACAGAATTTATTCTTTGATCCATACAGTCATAGTAACACCATACCGTGAAGTACTATTCCCTGACATGACATAATCTGATGGTAGGATGCTATTGACAACCTCCGCTTAAGGGAAATGTCAGGCTGCAACCATACCTTGAATCAAGTTCTAGATCATCAATATTTGCATTGAGAGGCGGGAACCCGTAAATAAACACGTCTGGACCAGACAATCCAGTGATTGACACCATGAGGAATGATTCATTAAGTCGTCTCGTACGTGATCAATGTGTGATTTAGTCATTAAAATACTTAATATCATGGCTGTTATCATAACTAAAAAGAAATTTCAATACAGTAATAGGAAGACCAAAATACTTTGTATCTCTTAATGACTAATGTTCGAACATCATTTCAAGGCGAGTTCACGGTGAGTTGGTGTGATTTGCGCTTTTATTCTATATATACCAGTGGAAATATACAAACCTCTGCTTAAGGCAGCAAACATTCCTTACTAGGGCTGGGACTATCCAAACTTACTATCCATTTACTACCCGTTTACCCACCCCCCTATTACCCGACCCTACCCGGGGCCCTGCTGTTTGTCTCAAGAGATTGGGAATAGTTTGATCGTAGCCCTGGCAAAATGTATTTACATACTCATATAAAACGATCTGGTCGGGCATTCACTGATGTTGACTGAAGTTTTATCTCTATTCAAACATATAAAGTCAGAAGTAATGCGTGCATAGACAGAAAGAGAAGCGGACATTAGTCACTTAAGTTCTAGATAATATTTGCCATTAAACAATATATCACTTGACTAACCACGGGTCCGGGTAGTCCTGTGTGTATCCGGGTCCTACTCAGGAACCACCATACCCGAGTTACCAGCCCTAAAATATACCAGTGGTACTGTACCAACCTCTGCTTAAGGCAGCAAACATACCTCATTCTACATATACCAGTAGCACCATACTAACCTCTGCTTAAGGCCTTATCGTCTATACACCAGAAGTACTATACCAACCTCTGCTTAAGGCCCTATCGTCTATACAACAGTAGTACTATACCAACCTCTGCTTAGGGCAGCAAACATTCCTTGTGGGCTGAAGCTGCGACGGGAGATCCATGATCCAACCTCTCCAAGCTTTACATCCCCAAGAGGTATATCCTCTGCAAACATGTGATGAAGGTTTAGTGTCTTTCTCAATGAAGGGTTAATGATCTTCAACATGTGCACTCATTAATTATATATTTTAAAAGTTCTAGGAGAATATTTCACCACGTATGAGTGAGTGAGTGAGTTGGGTTTAATGCCGCTTTTAACAGTATTACAGTCATATTGCGGCGTGTCAGCTTAATGTGGGAGGAAAGCCCAAAGTGATGCAGGTCTCAGACGTTTCCCACTTCGGTGAAACCCATGAGCACAGGTATGGTGCTGACAAACGTAGAAACATAATCGGGTCGAACCGGGATTCGAACTCAAGATCATATGTTTCTGGTGTGGCCAAGGGACGCAACTCTGCACAGCGAATTGTGGCGCCATAGACGACTGGGCCACCCATGCCCCCTTCACCACGTATGAAATGAGTGCATGCATGTTTCTATAATTTTTTGGCAACAGTCCCTTAGTGTACAGTAGGAAACTATAAGTTGTCAACCAACCTAGGTACATGGACTCACACAGAGGTATTGTGTATGAATGAGCCTATGTACTCGGAGCCTAATGGCTCAGGGTACATAGGCTCACACACAGGGTAGGCTAAATCTCACCATATGCCACGAGGGGCCGGTTGACAACGAAATGATCTTACCGACATTCATTCATACAGACTTGGAACATTCCATAGTCTCTAGATTCCAAACATCATTAGACAACATATAAAGAAGGGGTTCACGTACATTTCTAAACCATATGCGCTGATAAATGATTAATAGCATGAATATCAAATAATGTATTCGTGATAATCAGCTTATAAGCTCAAATAGTTCCATCTATGCATCAACGTTTAGCTATAAGGTGAATGGTGTTAGGCTCAAAACAAGACGACCGGCATGACCTTGCATGTGCTGCACTTAATTTCATCAACAAATTCGAGATGATCACATTTAAACGCATTATTATGTACACAGACAGTAATATTGCAGTAAACATACTTTTCCCGTAGAAGCGACCAGGGACATAAGGCCCATGTACTCTTGGATTGTACTCCGGTGGATACTCGCCAGCCCCCATCTTGGTTGTGTATGGATGTAAGAATACAATACCGGTGCGTTAACCATGAAAGTAGTTCACGGGGCGCATTTGTTTAGGTATTTCTATTCTTGACCAACGCGTAGATGTTCATGTTGCACGTAGAAATGAGAAGGCTGATAAATCGGCAAAGGCTGCATTAGACTTTGGTGACTCAGAACAGGATGTGACATTATTACCTTCTCCTGCAGAATTAGGCACTGTCAGTAAGATCCATCCTCAAACACAATGGCACCACAGAGATGGGCATCACCCTACTTACTTACTTTGGAGATTTAACGTGCGCTTTCCGACTGATGCGTATTTCGCACACGGAGGGCATCACCCTCCCTATCAAGCCTTTTATTACTAAATTAAAAATATCACGAACCAATCACAGAGAAGAGGTTCTCTTAAACAGACTTCGTCTTGGGCTTTGTGGTCTTGGTGCATATCTTAATATTATTAATAAAGACATTTCTGCACATTGTACAGTGTGTAGTCAGCTAGACAATTTCTCCATTATTTACTGCATTTCCAAAATATGTAAATCAACGAAAGGCAGTGGTGGAGTAGCTTATAGTTCTCCATATTGACCTCTCATTGGCTGGACTATTATGTTCTTGGAATATATCGTTCGACATGAAGTTTAGAATGTAATTCTTGCTTATATTAAAGCGTGTGGCAGTTGTGCTATACTTTAAGACAATTCTAGTACCTTAATGACTTTAAACCTTACTCACGCAATCTAGTAAGTTAGCAAACCTTTATTATGGGCAAGGTGTAAATGGGCCTAGCTGCCCGAACACCTATAAGATTTGCAATATATGAGTGACTACAGGTAATGTGCTCATTCAGAAAGTATTCGAACACCCAACATTTGAAACAGACTGCGTTCAGATGGCTGTATTCAATAACAAATAATTGCCTCAAAATGCCCTATGCAACACATCCAATACAGAATACTAAGAGACTCGTGAAGACCCGGATTAAAACCAACCAATTATATTTCATAATTTCACTTATTTTGAGAAAATAATTGAAATAACAAGAAAATAATCAAAGTAACGAGAACAATTAGAAGTAGCGAGAAATAAATGCTACCAAAATGGCACCATTATGCTTTCATTACACGCAGAATAAGGGGTAATCTTCAGTGAAAAAAACATTCGTAATACTATCCATGTCCACAGTTGTGTCGAAATGGAAAGGGACGCAACTCTGTTAGCCCCCCGCCCCGCTCCGTTCGTACACGGCTCAACAAGCGTCAATCAAATGCGCCCCTTGTTCAACATTATTTTCGTTGTTAGATTTATCGTTCTCTTTATGTCCATGTAGTGGAAATTATGACCGAAAAAGAATATTACACAATGATATACCTATAATAATGCAAGTAGCAGATTTCACCAAAGTAGAAAGCCGGTTTATGTTATGAAGGGGAACGTTTTCCGAGCAAGCATTGTGATGTGTCTACTTCCGGATTTTCACTTTTCCTGCGAAGTTCTGTTTGAGGCTTTTTGTTGAACAGTGTTGTCACGTCTGTTTTTTTTAATAACTGTCCAGTTATTTGATATGAAGTAAATGCAAAGGAGCCGTTATGGGATGGACGTAACCCAAGAGCACTTGTTTGAATGTCTACCACTAGATCTACACATTGTTATAACTCGAAGTCCTTCCATCACTGCCTCATTCGTCTGTGGGGAGGCTTGCGCTTTATGAAAACTTACATTTTTTAGAACAATCAGCTTGTTTGCGCACAATGCTTATTACAGACCTACCGGATGTTGTCCTTGTTAAGGTACTTTCATACCTTGAATGGGAAGATAAACTTATTCTAACAAGCGCCGTTCCTTCTATAGAGAATCACCTTAGAACGTCTGCTGCATGGCCCTGTTTTGAGTTTGCACCTAGTGCTGTCACAAAGTCTGATTACACCACGACTGCAGAAAACTGTGTGAAGGAATATGGACAGTTCTTTAGAACATTTCGTTCTTTGACTTGCATGGAGACCAACTCAGTGACAAATGAACATGCAAGTATGTTTAAACTTGTCGGTGAAAACTGTCGTCATCTGCGTGGTTTTCACATGGAGCAAGGTAGTGATGGCTTTTGTCATGGACAACATTCAACTTCAAACCGCGACATGGAAGAAGCACTGACCATATTGACGACATGTAAGGATTTGAAGAATGTAAGCCTGTTCCTCCCGTGCGAGACTGAGATTCAGCCCAAACCCTTCCTGTTGCTTCAGCTGATTAATCTGGGTGTGACAAGCTTTGTCACAGCCTTAGATTTGTCAAGTATCAGTTGGACGATGAGTGAAAGACAAATGTCAAGTTTGCTTAATTTTCCTAATCTGAGAGAACTGAGTTTACAGAAATGTAATGTTGACTCGACCCTTGTTCTGGGTTTAGCCAAGCAGAGTTTGGTACAGCTAAACATTTTCCAAGAAAAAGAAATGTTTGATGTTGACATCTGCCAGCCTAATGATAATGACTGGGAAAGGATTCTAAAACTGAAACCAGACATGAAAGTGAATATCACATTTGATGGAATCATACTTGTGAAAACTATGTTTCCGTCCAGAGTACCACTGAAACAGCTATCACTGAATGATATATCCAACAGTCTAACAAAGGGAATGATGGACCATTTCACAAACAATTACTGGAATACACTGGAAGTATTTAAGTACACAAATCTCCTACATGAACAAACTCGAACTTCAGATACCAGACTTCCATTTGCTTTGGTAAGCTTTGCAAAGAAATGTTTAAAACTCCAAAGGATACATTTTGATGTTCCTCTGTCAAGCACAACAGTATTGTTATTAGCGCATGCAAGGAAGTTCCAAGAACTGCGAGTGATAAGAGATGATGTGTCTTATGAATTTGACTGGAAGAGAGCAGAGAGCACAATGACACCTGACTTTGTACAGTGGCTTAAAGAAAGTGGGCAAAATGAAGCCCAGTTGGAAAAGGCTGTGTCATCACTTCTGGGTTTTAAGTGGAAGTTATGGAATCTGCCTCTCAGTTTTTCCAACAAATCATTCTAAGATTGTGTTCATGCCTGGATTGCCACTTATCTTATGACAATTATGATCATGATGATTAAAATATTTTCAAAATATCAGAGATCTTGCTTTGTCATTGAGTGTTTAAAATCAGGACTTAATTTATTTTTCATGTGTTACTGGGTATGGTGTAAGAGGTTTTATACAATTATGCTACTTAAAACAAGTTAAGGTTCCACAATACTATTTTGCGATTCTTTCTTGCTTATCTTGCTTGGTATCTTAAGGCTATCTGTCCGAGGTTGTCAGATAAGGTTTTAAGGAAGGTACTTGACAAGTTATGGAAAAAAGCAAGTGATAATATATTTATGTAGAGAGGCGAATGTCCGAGTAACTCTCCGTTCCTTAGAAATAATGGAGATGAGGCCAATTATTTTTAAGGAATTGTGAGTTAGGAGGATAAACCCCTACTTTGAGAAAAACATTGCCTGAGAAAATATCTATAAAAAAACCAGGATCATTGTTTATGCCAGCAACTGAGGTTTGCGCTAGGCAGTGCTTAGAAGTGCATGGAAGCAGTCTATGCACTAGTACGTTTCATTTCGCTGTATCTGCACACATCGAGATACGTGATGTAAGCGTATGTTATGAAGCAGAATACCATACAGGACTTAGCATTTGACCTTTTATAGTTGTGTTTTGGTGTATTAAATGTAAATAATTTTACCGCACTGATGTGAAACAAGTAGGCTACAGCAATATGCATCCTCTGCGCTGATCAGTGATGGATAATCAGCTTTAATTAACTCCTTATTGAAACATTTTAGTTGAAACAGCAACCAGAAACAGATGCATAGTAATAAATGAGTAAGCCTCGCCTGCTTGAACACTGGCAACTTCATGAAAGTTCAATGTGTTTGTTGTTATTCCCTACAGTGCTTTTGGTTGCCAATTTTGTTTTGGCCTCTCAGCACTGCTAAGCACCTTCCCAAGTTGCTGACTTTCGCTCTTCAGCGCTGTGTCACAGCGGGGTGTTGTATAGCGCAGCAATGGACAGCGATGGATAACACTAGGCCTAAGCAATGCGACTCAGAACTCTTTGTAGCCTGTGTTTATTGTGAGTTGCCTGAGTGATGCTTGTAGAATGTCCTCTGCTGCTGTTGCACGCTTGCCAAGGTCATTTATAATGTTTTTAGAATTATACTGTTGAGTGTAAATAGGCTGACACCTACACGATCCATGGCATAATCCTATTGAGTTTAACACAATAATACTTCAAACACGTCAAAAGTTGAAACGTATGAATTTAATATCATACAATGGTCCACCTTTAGAATTCAGGCGTTCGTCCCACAAAATTATCGTAGTGCTAAGGCTATCACAACTCACATAATTTAACTTAGACTAACGACTGTCGTTGCGCTAGAGTACGATCGCCTTGTGGAACGGGGCCTTGCACCTCAAAGTTTACAATGACGTCACAATACCCGATGACGTAATTTGTTGAATTTTGTTGCAAGTTCCATCGGCGAAACAATGCCATGTGACGTCAGCCTAGCAACAAGGTTGCTGGGGTCATCGAGTGTGCATAAGCTCCTCCCAGTGATCTATCATCTCCACACACAATGTCGTTGAATACGCCAAGGGATGTTGAGAGCTTTCAATATTTGTTCGTGAAACGTGTTCCGAGAGTACATAAGCACGCGTTTTGGTATTACACAATGTGTAATAAAGCTGTATGTTTATTAAACGGGTGATCTCTTCACGGGCAAGTAATAAATTGCAGTATTAAAGGATAAACATGATAAAGGTTGATATGTACTCATGTTTTGTAAACAAGTGGCAGCACAAATATTGGTAAAACAGAACACGCTCTTTTTTTCGTATTGGAAGTATCCTTGAACCATGCAAACTGCTTTAAGCCGACTGGAGACCTGAGTGTACTGATTGCCGTAATCTACGTACATATTTGCATATTTATGTTCCATATGTGTATGATTTTGCATTAAATGCAGTCAGTATTTGCATCCAGTTGGATGCAGTCAATCAGGTGTAGAAGACTGGAAATCGTCACCAGATACAGATTCCGCAGTCTGTTGATAATGCTGTTATTCACACAGTCTCATAGCAACATTTCTTTGAGCAATAGCCCTCTATTCTTCAATACTCCACTGTAGTCACTTATTAAACAGTCGACTCGTGAAAATTTCGGGGTAGAATAGGTCTTCAGCAACCCATGCTTGCCGTAAAAGGTGACCCTGCTTGTCATAAGAGGCGACTAACAGGATCGGGTGGTCAGGCTCGCTGACTTGGTTGATGCATGTCATTGATCCCAATTGCGTGGATAGATGCTCATGATATTAATCACTGGATTGTCTGGTCCAGACTCGTTTATTTACAGACCGCCGTCATATATGATATAACTGGAATATTACTGAGTGTGGCGTTAAACAACAAACAAAGAAATATTAAACAGTCATGAGTATCAATATATTCTTTACCCATCATTGTGACCCAACACAATCACACAAGACTTACACAGAATTGGGTTGGGGGATATATTTTTGAGAAGCCCTGGTTGGTAGGAGGGAAAAAATAATATAAGGACATTTCAGATTTCTTTTTTTGTTCTTAAGCTAGAGTGTTTGTGAAGCAGGTCTTGTCTGCCTTACAGCTCAACATACTGTATGCACAATTCTGTTGCAGTACAATGTACACGTCAGTTTTCAGATCATTCAGATGGTGGGGAACAAAACAATTGTGCTTTTCAGATCATGTTTTTTCTACATTTCTTTTTAGCATCAACAGATCTTTTATGTTTGGCCTTATATCAGTGTATTGTTTGACACATAACTAGTTTTAAGAAGTATACCCACTGACAAAAGAAACGCAACTACTATACATATTGGTTAATATATGAAGAATTACTCATATTCAAGATATATTAGATTGGTTCACTGCACAAACAAATATACTGTTATGTTGTGTGAACTGACGCTCATGAACGCATCACATATGATGTCATAGATCCATGACTCGAGATTAGCGTGTAAAGTTTGGAGTGAGTATAGTTTTACGCCGCTTTTAGCAATATTCCAGCAATATCACGGCGGGTGTAAAGTTTGGAAATCTCATGCAACATATAGCAATAAGAATAAAGACACTGTGGTAACACTTGTCTGATTGTTAGGTTGGAGTGAGTATGGTTTTACGCCGCTTTTAGCAATATTCCAGCAATATCACGGCGGGGGACACCAGAAATTGGCTTCACACTTTGTAACAATGTCGGGAATCGAACCCTGGTCTTCGGCATGACAAGCGAACACTTTAACCACTAGGTTACCCGACCACCCAACTTTTGGTCACATTTGAATAATTTAAGCTTGAACATTTAACTGTAGCCAATAATCAGAAAGTTATGAAACAGAGAATATTAGAAAAATACAGAGACAGATTTTCTGTCAAATAAGAAAATAAGAAAAATAAGAAAGGTATTTATCCTCGTAGTGGGGCATAATAATGTTGGACCTGCCTCATATATCATACCCAGACAATATGATCGTTGCTCCTGATATTGACCACAGGTTTGCCTGGCCCCGACCAGAATATTGTGACTGCTGCATTCAACAACATTCCTCAACTCCTCAAGAGAATGAAACAACAAGAATGTGGAAAGATATTTTATTTTTTAGCTTGAGGCCATCAAGCCATAATTTATTACATTTTGTAGAGTAACATCTACAGCAAAAATACAATCCAACATGGTGGTACAAGCAATAAAAAGAAAAATACAATTATAAATAAACAAACCTGGTAATGGCTTTCATTCCTTGACTAGATATACATACAGGATCTACTACAGAAAGCAGTCTACACTGTTTGGGGTGTCATCAATGCAGGTGTCCATGAACCATCCTGCAATCATACCATACACACCATTTCTGTCTTGCATCGATACACGAAATGTGTATTGAAGACACAGTCTTATTATGAACTGTGTTTGTCAAACGTGTACAACTTCACCAATGAACACAAACTTCAGTATCAATAATTCAAGTTTAAATTCAGATTTTTATTACCAATATTAGAAGGTATTAGTGCAGTAGTACACAAAGTTTTCAAAATCTGCACGATAATGTTTCAACTTTTTTTATGTTGCTAGACATCTTCCTGAGGTAAGGGAGTTAACTGACTTTAAAAGTCAAGTTTCCACCCTTGTCGAACCAGGATGGAACTTCCAGGCTCGATTGTAGAGCCACCAGTGACTTTTATGAGTTATGTACCTTCTTTGTCCCCACTACTGACCAATCAGATTCCACCTCTCCTATCTCTTGCACTGGCTTCAAACAAAATGACGGCGCCCAGTCAAGACGACTTCATCGATAATAAAAATCTTTATTGTAATAAAACAAGTTTTACCTCGTGAAGTGCATCAAATCACTTGAGCACCTTATAAATGAAAAGATTAGGAAAATATGTTCATGCCCAGTTGGCGGTACACATGCTCTGCAAATCCTGCAATCGAACGAATTCGGCACAGCCATTGCCATGTTGTTTATTAACTGGAGGTCAATTTCGTTACAGGATTTTGATTGGACTATGAATAGATTCGTTAGTCCAGCCAAAATATAACTCCATAATTCCAGCCTAGTTCGACAAGGGTGGAAACTGGACTAGTAAAGTCAGTAAGCTCCCTTACCTCGGGAAGATTGGTTGCTAGATACTGATATTGATGATGTGAATGGTGATGTACGTGTAGGACTATCATGACACCCCTGACATTCAGTATCAGTTCAGTATAACAGTTCAATGTTTCACTTCATCAAGACATGACAAACCCTCAACAGGAAGTTACATAATTTGTACTAGGAGCAAACTTTGGTACCCAATCTTAAAATGAAAGATGCACAGGCTTTTCAGCCAGTCACGTGTTGCCATTCCAAAACAATTAAGTCTTATTACATTCCTAATTTTGTCAATACAATCTGTTTATTTCATAGTCACTTTCTACCTTCCCTGACCCTGATGTGAAAATGTCGATCAAACCCCCCAAAAAACCCCACACAAACGTAGATGCCACAGGATTTAGAACTGATGGTTTAACATATCTACAACCATTTGTCTCCATTCAGGACATTATGTTTATGTTTGTTTTCGAGATTCAGGAATTAGACATATGGTGCTCCAAATGCTTTGCTTGGTTGTATAGAAAATTTTGAATTGACTAAGAAACCTTATGTGACTTCCTGTGAAGAGTTATCTGAATGGAAAGAAGGATAGAATCGGAATAAAAAATCTAATTTTAGTGAGATACGATAACTAAAAAGATTAACTAATATCTATGTCTTTTTAGTGTTCGAATTAGCTGCCAGTCCATTATTCTTACATGATAAATATTTTAAGAAAACTGGTAATTGTTCCAGTTTTTTTCTTCCTGCTGTCAATATGATAACAAAATATTTGTGAACCTTTTTCAATCTATGGTAAATAGCCATTTTAAGATCTCTTATTCCTTATAAGTTGGCTTACAATGTTTTTGCCTATTATTTAATGTAGGTAGCCAAAATTAATTTTAATTATTTTCAAATCCCAGATTAGTACTGCTACAAACAAGTTTTAACATTGCAAGATACCAAAAGATATGTTATTGGGTGTTTTGTTAGAATAAATATTTTCATATGAATTATTCACCATTTCGTACAAACAGCGGTGATAAATTCTCGTGGTTTCTTTCATTTCATCTAATTGTAAAACAGAGTTGAACAATTTGGGTGTCAAAAGTCATTGTTGGTCTTGTAACCAACTAAAATATGACCAGCATGCATCAAATACAACAACGGTACAAAAGGAGAAGCATTATCAGTTGTAAAAAATAGTGTTCAGCAATCAAGTCAGACCAGACACTTCCATCTTTCCAGACAGTCTGTTTTACCTTATAGTTCTTACATTATTGGAGAGAGAGGGCACGGTTGGCCCAGTCCTCTAAGGAGCTGCAATTGTCTGTGCAGAGTTGTGTCCCTTAGCCACACCAGAAACCTATAATTGTGAGTTCAAATCCCGGTTCGCCCCGATTATGTTTCTAGGTTTGTCAGCAGCATACCTGTGCTCGTGGGTTTTACGAAAGTGGTAAATGTCTGAGACCAACATCACTTTTGTCCCTCATTAAGCTGACACGCCGTGATATACCTGAATACACTTGAAAATGGCTAAAAACCCAAACTCACTCACGACTGGACACATGTTGCTGTGGAATACTACTACTGGAGAGTCTCCACCTCAACAGTAACTATGGCAACTGGAGCTAATTCGAACACTGAATGTAATGGATGATATACCACACTACTTTTCTAACTACATATATTTGAGTTAATGATTTCTTTGACCAAACTAATCACTACAACTAAATCCAATATATTGCCAAACATACGCCTACAAAATCCAGCAGAGAATGCCAGTTACATGGCCGCTCCAACTGCTACTCAATCATACCGACTGAAGTCACACCAACAACCTCCCTCCAGACACACGTCTGTCTCAACATGTCACAGGTGCTTCTACTGACACAAAAATCTCAATCTTCCATTAGATATTGAATACATATTCACACAGCTCCTGTGCATCCAAGATATCATTGTACATGCTGACATCCTGCTCCTTGTTTTACAATAATCTGAACAAAGAATCAACTTTCAAACAAAATGAAAGAAGAACCAAAGGGGCAAATAAAGCACAGAGCCAAACAATGGCCGTCTGTCCAGCTCTGCTCGCGGATTACTGGTAACAAAGAAGCAGCCTTTGAAATTCATGCTAGAGACTACTAAATGATGTGGAGGACAAGTAAAAATCCAATGATGCTTGCCCTCATCAAGAAGTAGCAATTGAAGGCTATAACTTAGACTAACATCTAGTCTCTGAAATGAACATATCAAACAGAAAAAAACAGTTGTTAAATTATCTTAATAAATATAATAAAAAGGAGCCCAGAGACCTTCAATTTCAGATACAGCAGTAATCTAGACTTGCCAAACATTATAGACTTGCATGGGCTGTATTGATATATTTGTATCGGGGTCTGTAAGACACACTAGGCTATAACTCTGAACCAGTTCTCAATGCTTAATTTTGCTACAAATCTGAACTGAATAGAACTGAGAGAAAATGTAAACAGTAAACATTTTTGTTTTGTTCAAGTAGCACTAGCGAAAAAAGGTTTATCTGAGTCCCTGGACAAATTTCAAAGGCTGGGAACGAGTGAGGTTTCGTTTGGATGGGATTGCAAAAAAACATGACATAAATGTGAGTGAGTCATCACGGACGCCAGAACTGCCACCGCGGCAAGTATCACATAGAGACGGAACTTATACTTCATACAGCTTTACAAATATGGTTATGATTCATATTCAAGTATTCATAAACTCTTTATATCACATATTGAAGAAGCAATACATGTACTGACACACACATTAGGATAGTTAGTGTTATTATTCCACCTTGCAAAATATCCATAACCATTTACTCAACAAACTATCACAAAGTTAATATTGCCAGTATAAAGAAAACAGTGAAACAAGTACTGGGAAATACAATAAGAGTATTTTGAAATTAGTAGAAGTAGCAATGGCTGTACATTCCTAATATTCTTTTGAAGAACTAATACACATCTTACATTTACACAACCTCAACACCAATACCATTGGGGACTGATACAGGTTCACTCATCACAGGGGAGGAAAACTGAATCAAGTCTTTCACAAACCAGAGGAATAATGGTAAACATTGCGACATAGAGCTGTTACTCTGAAGATTTTGTCATCAACTTCCTTTTCTACAATTTTCACGTCTTTCCTGCAAACCCAGTTAAATCATCCCAGTCTTATCCCAAGACAACCCCTTTTTGAAAAGATTTCTGAATTAGTTTCCAGATATAAACTAAACACCGCTAAACAGAGGTACCATACTCGCCATAATAAGCAGCCTGAGTGCTTAGAAAATGATAAAGGGGGTGCTTCTTAAAACCTTACAAGTCAAATTTGTGTCAGTGATCGTGCGGTAGAGAACAAACCTCGTGCAAACATTGATGAAACTAAAACATTTTTGATAATAGACACCAGGCAAATATACTCCCCTCCTGCATTGCTGTTTATTGTAAGACATGATGTAATACGCATGACAAAATAAAGACTGGCATACGATAGTGTTCGGTCTTGGTATGGGGCACTTACAAAAACTATCCTGAAAAGGTGGTCTTGAAGTTGGTCAGTTTGAAGCAGGACGCCTAATATGGCGAATACAGCATTCAACAAAACTACCAGTTCCTCCTCCTTCACTAGGGTGTGGCGCTAGCCCTGACACATGACGAGAGGCACTAGAAGACATGCAACACTAGCTATTGAGTTCATGGAATGACTTTGTCCGTGTGACGCGAGACACGTGAGCATCGTAGAGAATACTGTTGACCCGGAAGTAGTGTGGGTTCTCTCCCTCTTTCAGTTCCGGGTCATAGCCAGCGATGTCCTCCATGTTGATGGGGCACTGATCACAGACTGCACCAACATTATCTGAACTGTGTAATATATCATTATTGTTCGTTCTTGCCTCTTCTGGATTCAGCGATGGCCGTGTTTGATGGTTGGGGACTGAACACCCAGGAATGGACAACTGGCTCTGATTGGCTCCAGGACCACAGACTAGATGTTGATTGACTAGTTGAGCTTGTTGCCATGGCAACAGATGAGGATCACAGTTTGCAGAGGACGTTCCTTCTCCACTGAAGCCCTGAACATGTACAAGGAATACCTTTACTTCAACTTCAAGAGATCATCTTTGGATTATGCATAAACATGTCAACAATCTTTCCAAGTCTTGTGTTTGTCACAAACATAAGAAGTAATAATCTATGGAAGAAAGTACCATTGAATTTTCAACATACCATATACAAAATTTATAGCCAGAATATCAGATGATAAATCCTAAAGTTAATAAAAGGCCTTAAGTATATGGAGGATTTTGAACTTTTTAACAAAATGTTTCCATAATCTGCACAAAACAATTGTACCTCATACAAGTGTCTATGTAACGGAGTCTAGAATTTTCCCCCATATCAACTATTTGCGCAAACCTGAGTCGTATCTCCTTTAGCTAACCCTTCCTCCTGACTTCGTCTGGCCGATCTGAAACAAACCATCACCAGGTCAGCAGAATAACTCACATTATCGTCATGCATTCAATGGCTAGTTCTCCTTTTTTCATGATACATATGTCCCAGATAATAATACTCTCCATTCTTTAATGCAGAACCCAACATTTCCCATTTGTTTTTACATAAGCACACACTTCATGGAAACTACCGGTAAGGGAACAAGTACTTACTCAATATGGAGTTTGTTGATGCGTTTTGATATTGGAAGGCAGTCATCGCAGTCTTCCTCTAGGTCACTGCGAGGACGTTTTCGACAAACACTGAAGCGGAAAGTGATGGATGTATACAAGCTGCTACATCACGATGTGGAAACAAAGGGCTGGCATTAACAACAATTACAATCAGGTTGACAAACACAACTGAGATGTATGAAATGAAATATGCACATGATGTTTCAGCAAAATGGGCTGGGTACACCTTACAGTAAACTGGAACCTGGAGCCAAGGTACAGGTAATTGCTCATAGTGACTGACATACAGAGTCTGGGCTAAAACTTCCACAGACAAACAGCATGAAGCTGTCTACATATGTTTTAGTAGATTTTCAATCTTATTAAAAACAGATTTTTTACTCCAATGTAAACTTCTCTGTGTAAAGATTTACAAAACCTTCATATGTCTCTACCATGAGTGAACTCCAACGCCCCAATCTAAATAAAGGTTGTGGTTTCATCTCTTGACCACCGCGATTTGGAAATTTTCATTTTAACAAAAGAACACCCTCACAAACAAATATTCCCTTCATAGAAACAGTGTGTGCAAAATATCCACAACATTTGTGGCATGTCTGCTGAACTGCTGCTCATGTTTGTTTTGAAGATTAAAAATCAGATATACTTCACCTGATGTGACCTCCTATGTAGGGTTTGTGAGTGAGTTATATCTTAAGTCACGTTAGCAATATTTCAGACATAATGTGACTTGAACAGGTTATACAATATTATTAAAAACTGTCCACAAAAGACAGTACAATAACTAGCAAGATATCACAGATTGACTTAAAACTAGTTGGAAAACATTAAAAATAACTGATTATTGGGCAACAACACGATATAAAATGGGGCCATAGATCGCCAGCAACAAATGTAAAGACACCATACTAGGGACCGAGGGGACTTACGGTACCTCTGCTACCACTGCTACCTGTATGGTTCCCCAGCAGGATTCACATCTTTCCCTAGTTACTGGCGATTGTTGCCAGTTAAGCAAGAGATTAAACATGAACAAATATTCTGCAGTTAAAATTGACGTAGACATAAATATAGTTGAGTGAGGTGGTCTTACATACCCTCACAGGGGGAGAAGGGTTTGTGAAAGAGGTTTCATAATATAGCACTGGAATCAAGTCAGGGATTATTTCCTTCTCAACTAGGTATAATACAGCGCACAGTATTAGGCTGCAAAGTTCAACCAACTCTCAGAAATTCTACACTTCAGGTCCTCAGATTTGAATTTATTTCAACTATGAATCATAAACATACTAATCATTGTTTTCTGTATTCCTGTAGGATTTCTCAGTTTACTGATGGATACAGGCATCTCACACTGCATATCTCAGTGTCTGTTTCCTTGGCTTCTTTTTTAAAATGACCCTACCTTTTTGTCACAGGTGGGTCCAAAGGTCCTAACTATAATAAACATATGTCTTTTGTAACAAGAAAGAAATGGGGCTACCAAATCCCCTGCCAATTTAATAGAACACCCAAAGAAACTTTAGCATATTTACTCCATAAATATTCTCTTGTCTTTGAAAACCAAATCAATAAGCAACAATTTGAAACATGAATGTGCCATTGTCCTCAAAACAACAAATATAGTGTTCCAAAATACATACATTGCAGTCAGGGAAAAGTCCTGTCATAAAATAACGTAACTTCAACGTCATATGATACATAAACGACTGAAGTGTAAAGACAAACAAATCACAATAGACTGTGTCTGGGTCGAATCTAACAGTCACAGCAAAAGTTGTTTCTCCGAAGTTGATGGATGAGATATCTACCGAAACATTTGATGCAACTTGGAAATATTGGTTAAAATATATGACACATTGATTGAGTTACCTAGCAGCTGCCATTATAGCTGGAAAGGTTCACACCAAGTGTGTTTTCATGAGTATGCATAATTGTAAATCTTAGACGGAAGTGGCAACTGTCTGAAACCAAGGGAGGTTACTCTAATTTTATTAGCAGAATTGAGGCCAATTTAAGGTTATGAATGAAGAAACGCATTGTGTTCTAAGCTCACATCAAGGCTCACGTTTTATTGTCGTTCGTCCATCCATACATAATTTTTTAAATTCTCGAGATTTATCAAGCAACTTAAAGTTATTAACTGTACATGTATTACCAAAGTATATAATGTGCATAATAATATTTAACTAACATAACCGGTTAACGGCCTCGATCACGTAGTTGGTTACATATTACGAATATTGCTTTAATACTGGTTTTAGAAAATAAAAACTATACTACTATAGAAAATATCATCTCAAAATACAAACAAGGGTATCAACAACTGTGATGCATTGTTTCGAAATGATATTGTGAGGCTCTGCATGGGTTGCTTAATAACGAACATGGCTGGTAGGGGGTCGGCTTGGGGTGTGGAAACTATGTTACATAATTCAAACCTAAATTATGAATAAATAATTCCAAAATTCTAGATACCTTACGCAGTTCAAATCTCTTGTATTTAGGATAAATGTACAAACATCAACGCGTCATTATGTTTTGACAACAATTTTTAGAACTTATCTTTGTGCATTCATCCCACCTAGTGTTGTGTAAACACAATCATGACACACACACACACACACACACACACACACACATTGAAATCCTGTCAGTCGGACAGTCAATCTCGCGTTCGGCTATTTCCGTCAAGCGCCCCCTGTTAACAGATTGTCGGACAGTGACAACAGTCAATATAATTCCAAATGGAACCTGTCTCTTAGACAGTGGCGTAACTTATATATTGGCAAAACAACAACTGCCTACACAAATTGTTTCTACATGCCTTTCGCGGCAATCCATAGGTCTCTCCGCAAGAGTAACTGCCCTTTCTCAAAGGGATGCTACTCTAACCCTAGTCTATGAGACGTCACTTTTGTTTAGAGTCTGCCTGTCTTGTCATAACGTTACGAAGTGCAGTCAGATGGTACATACAGCGAAAAAAGCGAAACAAGGTAACAATCTGACATATTTCGACCAAACCCAACATCCAAGTCGCAGAGGTCTACAAGCACCGATCTGGAAATTGATCCCGCTAGACTAGTGTCCTTGCTAAATTGTTTTGCAATTTATATCTCCACAGTTGCCAAAACTTGTAAAACGCCCTAGCTAAGTCACATTTAGACATTGATGTTCAATACAGTAGACTATTCTTTTGATAATGATAGCCATTATCCCAGTAGGTTCTCCAGATTTCCGGTGGTTAATTCTGACTCGATCGCCGAATGTCAAGGCCAACGCCATGTTTCTTTGAAAACAATGAAAGTAGTCCCTACTTGACCTTTGATATTTGCATCTCCGCGAATGTTCCCATGTCTAACAATATTACGTCAAAAGCTAGGTAAGTGATTTGTCAGTCGGACAGTCAGTCTCACGTTCGGCTATTTCCGCCAAACGCCCCTGTTGGCGGATTGTCGGACAGTGACAACAGTCAATATAGTTCCAAATATTGGCAAAACAACAACTGCCTACACAAATTGTTTCAACATGCCTTTCGCGGCAATCCATCAGTCTGTCCGCAAGAGTAACTGCCCAAGCTCCTTTCCAGCGCGTGACACCTTCGTTACGCTCTCGGTAACATCGCTGCCACCAGTGTGGGCGCGGCCATTACAAGAATCTTGAAATTTGCCCTCTAACCCCAAATGCAGTCACGTTCATACTTTTGTTCATGTGTTTGTGAATGCCATCATTGTTCATTTTGAAAAGGTTTACGACTGACCATGTTTTCCAGATGAATTTACTTTGTTGCTTGTATAATCAGATTGGTTCGAGATTGCAGACTAACGGAAAATCAACCAACTTCTCCCTTACATTCTTACTTTATCAATTACATGATAGTTTTAATGAAATAGAAATTCAAATTGACAAACAAAGAAAGTAATTTAGCAGGGGTAAGTGTATTAAGTGTCACAACTTACAGTGTCACTTAAAATTGTTTGTAACTATAACGGTCAATCCGTTGCGAGTTCAACTCCAAGCATGGTTGTAGTCATCTATCACTGTGGGGAGTTTTGAGCTCCGCGAACGGACTATCGCTGTGAGGAGCTGGAGTAACTGTCCTTTATCAAAGGGAAGCTACTCTAACCCTAATCTATGAGACGTCACTTTTGTTTAGAGTCTGCCTGTCTTGTCATAACGTTACGAAATGCAGTCAGATGTACATACAGCGAAAAAAACGAAACAAGGTAACAATTCGGACATATTTCGACCAAATCCAACTGTTCTAGTTTGGGGATAAGGTTCCAAGCCGCAGAGGACTACAATCACCGATCTGAAAACCGATCCCGCTAGGCTAGTGTCCTTGCTAAATTGTTTCGCAATTTATAATCTCCAAAGTTGCCAAAACTTGTAAAATGTCCTAGCTACGTCACATTTAGACAACGGTTTTCAGTATAGTAGACTATTCTTTTGATAATGATAGCAATTATCCCAGTAGTTTCCCCAGATTCCCAATGGTTAATTCTGACTCGATCCCCAAATGTCAAGGGCAACGCCATGTTTCTTGGAAAACACAGAAAGTAGTCCCTACTTGACCATTGATATTTGCATCTCTATCTGCAAAAGACCCCAACGGATATCGTTTTTATCCGTTGGCTTTATCCTGTCGAGAAAACCTACCCATTATATAATATGATATCGGTTTGGAATCATCACGTTTGTGTTATGCCTTCTGTTTTGAACATAAATACATGCTAGCAATGGTGCTTTCATTCATGAATGTTCATAAACTGTCATTGTTATAAAATTGTCAAATGTCAAATGAAATATTGTTATAATATTACACGTATAAAAACAGAAACCTAAGTACTTGTTTGTTGTCTTTTTCACTGAAACTAGAGGATGCCATTACTATGACTGAGGGATTAGATTTTAGAATGGTTGTGCAATCAACCGTAGTAATTGTTCTTTTAGCGGTTCTGCGTTTTGGGAGTTCTGCATTATGACAGGATACCGAAAATACAAACTTATCTTGATAATACTAATTAATGATTTTAGATTAAAATCCACCACCAAATAAATTCAAATAGAATTGTATGTCATCTCTGCTGCTTCTACATAATTAATTGTTAGATAGAGGTTCAAATCCAAATTAGAGGTAGCAGAAGACCTACACTACTTAAAGGCAATTAAGGTCGGGCTAATCGCCACAGGTTGGCACATTACAATTTTTGTTCCTAACATGATATTTACGATACGTATACACTCACGGCAAATAATCGCTAGGTTGGTGTAATTTGTACAAACGACATCAATAAACCATCTCAATGTTTGCGATAATATTATGCTGATAACCGCGAAAGAGTGTCTCTTATATATCTTGTCGACCTAAATTAAGGACCCACCAATAATAGCATTTAAATAAGAAGACTGTATATGCTCAAACGTTGTTGTTTTTTACTTCACTCGTATACATGACAGACATTGAATCGCGTATTAGAGCTACTTCATTAGCCAACATCACGTGGGCATCCCTAAAGAAGCCTTGCAAAATATTATCGAGTGTTACAAGAAAAACAGTGGTTGATCGCAAGAGCAGCGATCCATGCAATCAGGACTCGATGACATACAGGCGAAAACAGTGACCTGTCGATGTTCATTTGTCCTCTCTTACAACAAGCATGATGCACTGGTGACCTTTTCTTATTCCAGAATTCCAAAATTCCATTGAGAACCTCAGAAAACTCTCAAGATGACTACGGTGCAATGTAGAATATATCATTACCGTTTTTCATGAAGAATTTAAATTAGGCAAGACTTATTGTGAGTGAGTGGGCTGGGTTTAACGCCGCTTTTAACAGCATGTCAGCTTGATGTGGGAGGAAAGTCCGAAGTGATGCAGGTCTTAGACCACTACCAAGAAACCAACGTAAACGGATACGGTGACAAACCCAGAAATATAATCTATTTGAACCTGGAGTATAACCAATCACAGTTTTCTGGCATGTCCGGTGACTCAGTACATTGTCCTTGTCCACCAATGATGATTAATGTTGTTTTTGTGACTGGAAATAATTCTAATTAATGTCTGAGGTTTAATCAAAATATGTTTCATACCCGCATATGAAACGGACTCTTTAACGTTTTAACTAAGAACCTTGAAGTGTGTCAGATATTCACAAGGATTTTTAACTCAGCTTGTATTGTCTTTCGTCAATGGCGTTTATGTATCTCCGACAGTAAACATGTATATACTACTCGACGTCTCTGCCAGTGACAAACATTGTTTGGTTACGAATTGGCACTGCCTTTCCTTGATTCATTTATAATTTGTACATCATGTACAGCACAAATGCAGCAATGTAGTTCAAGTTACAGCGAATAGGAGGATCATACACAATTCAAAGTTTGCTAAGGATCACCACTTTGAATATAAAAGATAATACGTCAAATTGTGTGCATCTGTTGTAATAGTCGAAGACAATATTGCGTGAAGACATGTTTAATTAACAAGTCCGCTGTCACAGACGTCGTCTCACGCTCCCAATAAGTGTCTGGATGGTTGCCAAGGGAAGATTGTTTCACTCTTCAGTAAGAGCATTGCCGAGTTCATGTAGAGTTGCCGGAAGGTCAGGGCGTCTTGAGAGGGCGATCTGCAGCTCGTTCCACACGTTCTATCGGGTTGAGGTCTGGTGACCGGGCTGGCCACTCCATGCGGACAGTGGTCTCCTGCCGTAACAATTCCACACTCGGGAAATGACGCTATTTCAGTCCTCGAGTGTTCTGGCAACCTGTGACAGTGGAGTGGTCATGTATGTGACTATCGCTCATCTCAAGGACTCTCCGCTGCCCTCGCTCACAACGATACGGCCTTGGAGGCAGTGTGCGTTAATATAACCACCTGACTGAACTTCGTTTCTGTTCAGTAGCATTCCACTGTGACACAAATGAACGCATACATACGACGACTCACTTGATCTGCAGGGCGCATTTCGTCACAGTGGTACAGTGAACACTTCTAGAATCTTAACATATTTCAAAACTAAATTCTGTCGTTCCCTTAATTTTGTTAAGTCTACATGCAAATTGAATTGATATTATTATTCCACACTCTACACCTTAGTTTCCTTCTTGTGTCTTGTTGACAATGTACCAAGATGGAGTGTTATTCATGTACTGATTATGTAATCATCTGATTATACGACCCCGACCTGAAAGGGATGGAGGTATATAGTTATACCAAAGACGTATCTATATACAGTTTTGAGTGTGACCACTATCTATACCAATAGGGGAGGTACAGTGCGATGTTTGATTTCAATATTTGGATTTTCTGAAAACAAATACTGCTATTTTTCATTTTTTTTACTCAGACATTTGTGCGACCTATAACTTGAAAACGACTGCATTGATCCTTTAAGATTAAGGGAACAATTTCCATACTAATAGAAGAGGTGCAGTGCAAATAACGATTTTGATATGGGGATTTTCTGAGAAAATATGAATGTTTACGTTTTGAACTTAGAATGGTTTTTTTCTTCAATATTTTTAAGACCTATAACTTGAAAACTACTACATGGATTTTTTTCAAATTTAAGAAACACTTTATATACTTATAGGAGAGATGCAGTGCAAAGTCTGATTTCGATAAGTGGATTTTCTGAACAATATTGTTCTTCAGCTGATGTTGGAGTCGAGGTCGTGGGTATGAGTGAGTCGAGGTCGTGGGTATGAGTGAGTCCTGCTCATTGTTGGCCTTGTTTCTATACATTTAATGAATATACAACATGAACAAATATACGTCCAATTCTATATATTTGTTTCATTTACAATACACAACAAATATGTATAAAAGTAATACAAATGCTTCTTCTTGAGTCATGTCAATACCTTCAGGGTAAACTCAACAAATCTCTAAGGCCGGCAATCTGTTGACAGCCCTTGAAAGGTATGAAGCTCAAAAATGAAAGATAAACAAATGACAAGCCATTTCTGGGAGTGTGTGAGAGGTATTGCTCCACTCTCAGGAGGGAACATCAGAAAACGGTTTTACACTGTAGACCTATGTGTAGCATCAAATCCAGGTCCTTGGTATAATGAGAGATCATTTAACCACTGGGCTGCCCTGCGCACAAACACAGCTTTGTACAGGGACAAGCCAGATATGCCATTAAAGGATACATCAGACACATTCTCACTGTTAAAAGAAACGCGAATACCATACATGTTGGTTCATATGTGAAGAATTACTCATATTTAGGAGATATTAGATTGGTTCAATGGACAAACAAACATTGTTATGGTGTGTGAACTGACGCTCTTAAACGCATCACATGACGTCATAGATCCTTGACTTGAGATGCACCATTTGTCTCGTGGGGGATTAGCCTGTAAACTTTGGAAATCACGTGCAGCATATCGTGATAAGAATAAAGATACTGTGGTATCACTTGACTGATGGTTAGTTTTGTCATTAAGCGGTACACACTGGAAACATGTCTTCTTAACATACATACTTCTCTCTATGTTTCTATGGTTTGCGTTTCTTTTGGCAGTGAGTATACAATAAATAGAGGCCAAAAATATAAGATATTCTTCAAATGGATATCACATAAACATGAATTTCAAAAACATACAAGTACAAGTATGTTAACAATTCTGTGACCGTTAACTAAACTTGAAAGTAACAGAAAAATAAAACTATACTAAATCTGAGGGACTGGTTCAGCATGTGCGTTTGTTGTTTAACACCGCACTCAGCAATATTCCAGCTATATAACAGCACCTAGTAAATAATCAAATCTTGAGCAGATAATCCAGTGATTTCTGTAACGAGCAACAATCCATGCCGGGCTTGTTGACATGCCATCAACCAAGTCACTGAGTCTCACCACCTGATCCCTAGAGTTGCCTCTTACGACCAGCATACGTTGCAAGGGCTGATTTCTAACCGGAATCCCCATGGGTTGATTTGGCTCAGAATGTACAATCATGACATAAGTAAATGTGAAGGATGCAAACATGTTTATCTGTTAAATTCTGACATAATAAATATCCAATCATATCCTAGTTTCAGAAAGCCATAGTTTCAAACACCTGTAAGTATACATAATGAGTGTTCGACACCATTGTTCATTACCAACTGGTCCACAGCATATTCCAGACTAGTGGTTTGTGTAAAATATCTAGATATTGGGGAAAAAACAAGCAATCCCTCTATACTTAACTAGTCTTGAACTGTTGCAGGCTAGCAGCTGTGCTTAAGCCTGATAATACAGTAGCATTTGCTTTAGGATTGTGGCTTAACCTGCCGCCCCCAAACAAGCACACACACCTATAACAAGCATATACACAGAGTTTCCTATTTGGTCATGTTAGAATCATGTTAATGGTGACAGGGGTCTTCTTGTCCTTGATGTTTTGGGCCACAGAAACAGTGTTGCAGCACATTAGTATGTGTAATAAACACTGATTTTGGACACTAGAAAGTTTGGATCAGGTCTTCTGAGTGCTAGATTTAGACACTTTCATATACTGTTAGCAGAATATTACATATGTTATGAAAGAGCATTAAACAGTGTGATAGCACAGGTTTTCTCCTGGCTCCGAAATTGAGAAATTATACTTTTCAAAAATTGGGATTTTTTTTTTTAATTCAGCAACATTTTTTAATTGCATGCAATAAAATAATGCACAACTACGAATAAATCTTTTTATTCATTTCTGTGATCAGTCACCTTTGCAAAGTTAAAATAATTAATATTAGTAGTTTATAATTTCAAATTGGACATTTATTGTAGACCTTGGCCAAATATTGTCCTCTGTGATTATCTAGATCAATCACTGCATGTGTTCATGAATATGGCTGCCCAGTAGTGCAAAAACCAATACTTATGGTCAGATGGTATTTCAACTCAACTATTGACATACATGTATTGATATGCATGGTCCTGTGACAAATGCGTCACAAAGCCTGTTTAACATATGGTCGTGTTACCACTCATCTCATGCTCTCTCACACGCAGACACACATGCATGTGCACAAGCATATGCACCTGCACATACTTGTGCACATGCGCACACACACACACAGGCACATACCTGCACACACACATACACACGAGTATCATCCCATATCATTAAAATCAGATCTTACTTTTCGCTAACGCTAAACAAAGACCTGAGAACCACCTCTTACAGATCACATCAAGACAAACTTTCATTTGACAAAGCAGAACTTCGTTTACCAGATCAGGAAAGTGACTGTCGGAATGTGTTTCCTAATCATGCAACCTCAAAAAGGTTAACATTGGGTATTCTGAACGACAGTCTATCTCTTGCTTCACTGGGATAAATATTTTAAGGGAAGAGACTTTGCATAGCCCATGGGAAGTATTGCCTTACAACCTTGACCATATATTAGACATTCCAGAAAATTCTTTAGTTCAGTTTTCAAATTTTGAATCAAGAATTTTGTTAACATATTTTTCAAGTGAAGTCTGGAATGGAAGTCACCAGTTTGAAACTAATGCTGTAAGCTGCTCTCTGATTGGCTAATGTCAACTTCTTCTTAGCTGCTCTCTGATTGGCTAATGTCAACTTCTTATTAGCTGCTCTCTGATTAGCTAATGTCAACTTCTTCTTAGTGATTTCATTGGTCAAAGTTGTGAAAGGTTGTTACGATGTGACCTGTAATGATCTTTGTTTAGCAGTAGTGAGCACTAGGATCTGCCTTTAATGAGATTGGCATCATCCTGGGTGCTGGTCACTCTTCTGTAATGTCATGCTGGTAAAGTCTGCAAGGAGGGAGCTGATGTTGTCCACCTGTTCTCGTGTTGACGTTCGTTGTAGCTGCTGACACAGTTCATCTACTTGCTCCGACTCCGACTTTAATCCTGATATATCCAAGTAGGTCTTCATCATCTCGGACACCTGAAATATTGGTTCATACATGAGCAGTCACTACATACACGTATACAACTCCATCAGTGTGGTAGGATACCCATTTGTAAATAGAAACATAGTGAACTTAGTAGGCCAAAAAAACTTAATGCTTTCTTTATTGAATTAGTTTGTTAAGGACAGCAACAGTTTAAACATTCAATCTTTCAAATTAGTCGGGAGACACATGGGCAAAGGGCAAGTGCACACAAATCAATTTTATTCCATGGTTTCAAATTATTCTTCAATAATGGAACTGTACTTTTTCAATTACAGTGTACATGAGGACAGAGAGAAGTTATTGCTCTTGTTTAGAGTGAGTGAGTGAGAGAGAGAGTGAGTGAGAGTGAGAGTGAGTGAGTGAGTGAGTGAGTGAGTGAGTGAGTGAGTGAGTGAGTGAGAGAGTGAGTGAGTGAGTGAGTGAGTGAGTGAGTGAGGGTGAGTGAGTGAGTGAGTGAGTGAGTTAGTGAGAGTGAGTGAGTGAGAGAGTGAGAGAGTGAGTGAGTGAGTGAGTGAGAGAGTGAGAGTGAGTGAGTGAGAGAGTGAGAGTGAGTGAGTGAGTGAGTGAGTGAGTGAGTGAGTGAGTGAGAGTGAGCGAGTGTGGTCTTACACTGCTTTAAGCAATATTCCAGCAACACACATTCTACCAACTTGGGGTATCGAACCCGGGTCTTAGGAGTGACGAGCGAAGGCTTTCGTTTACATTGAGAAATACTTTAATGTAGGGGATGATATTTCATATCACAGCTAACTGTAGACGACAGCCCAAAGTGGCAAAGGTCTTGGATGTTTACGACCTTGGTGAAACCAGTATGCATGGGCATGGGTCTGAGTCAGTGATATGGAACCACAATCAGCAGATCCTGCAATGGTCATGGTGAACAACAAGGCCTTAGACCAGTGTGCCCCCTTTTCAAGGGGAATATAGACAAAAATTAGACACACCCTTTTAGAGTCATCTTTGCCAATATTACATTCACTTACTAGCAACAAAACAGTACTGTTTACACATTACACTGAATACATCCATCAACCTTGAAAACAAATGAACCTTCCCTACATGCACAACTTCATCTCGGATCTGCTTGGAAGAATAGGTCTTGTTCTCGGCCAAGCACTTCAGCTTGGCTTTTGCCAGTGTCACTGGCGTTGTGCCATATTTGTTCACGAGCTCCAGGTCTGGACCTTAGACAGGAAAACATTTTAGTAAAAACTTTGTACTTTCAACAAGAAAAAGGTGAGGTGAAATGGGGTTTAATGCCCCATTCAAGATTATTGCACTTACATAGCAACATGCATGACGGTTTTATACTGCTAGCCCACTTAGATACCGTACTGCAGTTGTAAAGTGGATTCCTCCATACAGGCACAGGATAATGACTTTGAGCCAACCAGTACCTGTTTTATTCCCTTAATGCCCCAAACCAGGCAGGGTAACAATAAGCAACATCTTTTAACGTCTTTTGGTATGATGAAGCCAGGGTTTGAAGCAATAACCTTCCACTCTCCTGGCAGATGCTCTATCCACTAGACCAGGGAGAGGGTCTCCGGGCAGATGCTCTATCCAATAGATCAGGGAGAGGGTCTCTGGACAGATGCTCTATCCACTAGATCACGGAGAGGGTCTCCGGACAGATGCTCTATCCACTAGACCAGGGAGAGGGTCTCCGGGCAGATGTTCTATCCACTAGACCAGGGAGAGGGTCTCCGGGCAGATGCTCTATCCACTAGACCAGGGAGAGGGTCTCCGGGCAGATGCTCTATCCACTAGACCAGGGAGAGGGTCTCCGAGCAGATGCTCTATCCACTAGACCAGGGAGAGGGTCTCCGGGTAGATGCTCTATCCACTAGACCACGGAGACGGTCTCCGGACAGATGCTCTATCCACTAGACCACGGAGACGGTCTCTGGGCAGATGCTCTATCCACTAGACCAGGGAGACGGTCTCCGGACAGATGCTCTATCCACTAGACCAGGGAGAGGGTCTCCCGACAGATGCTCTATCCACTAGACCACGGAGAGGGTCTCTGGACAGATGCTCTATCCACTAGACCAGGGAGACGGTCTCCGGACAGATGCCCTATCCACTAGACCAGGGAGAGCGTCTCCCGGCAGATGCTCTATCCACTAGACCACGGAGAGGGTCTCCGGACAGATGCTCTATGCACTAGACCATGGAGAGGGTCCCCGGGCAGATGCTCTATCCACTAGACCAGGGAGAGGGTCTCCGGGCAGATGCTCTATCCACTAGACCAGGGAGAGGGTCTCCGGGCAGACGCTCTATCCACTAGACCAGGGAGAGGGTCTCCGAGCAGATGCTCTATCCACTAGACCAGGGAGAGGGTCTCCGGGTTGATGCTCTATCCACTAGACCATGGAGACGGTCTCCGGACAGATGCTCTATCCACTAGACCACGGAGACGGTCTCTGGGCAGATGCATTATCCACTAGACCAGGGAGACGGTCTCCGGGCAGATGCTCTATCCACTAGACCACGGAGGCGGTCTCAACCAGAACAAAGGTATTTGACTACATCTTTATCATTATCATCATTTGCCATTCCATACATGGTGAGATCAATGTTCTACTTAACATACTTAACTAAGACTGGAAGCAGAGTGTTTTCAAATTGATTTAAGTCTATTAAATCTATTAAAGGTAGCTTTATTTAAGGCTTGGCAACAAGCTGTCTGATGGCTTGAAATAAAGACAATGTATAAATTGAGCCTAAAGGTGTGATATGCATCCTGTGACTCAACTGGATACTCACCTGCCTTGAGGAGGAGTGAGACGACTGGCACCTGGCAGGTACAGGCAGCTGGAAGAACAAGAGGCTGTCAGTTTCAAACAACAAGAAGACATCCAAAATATTTGTCCCTACATTTTTAGAACTAGCCACTAAATGTTAAAATAAATATTCAAATATTCATGCAGTAATCAAAATTAACCTATCTTGTTATAATTTCAGTGGTGAAATAGACACACTATATTGGACCTATATTGTCCTTGAATCTCAGTGGGGAACAGACACAGGCTATATGGGGACCTATCTTGTCCTTGAATCTCAGTGGGGGACAGACACAGGCTATATTGGACCTATCTTGTCCTGGAATCTCAATGGGGAGACAAAGTGCAGGCTATATGGGGACCTATCGTGTCCTGGAATCTCAATGGGGAGACAAAGCACAGGCTATATGGGGACCTATCTTGTCCTGGAATCTCAATGGGGAGACAGACACATGCTATATGGGGACCTATCTTGTCCTGGAATCTCAATAGGGAGACAAAGCACAGGCTATATGGGGACCTATCTTGTCCTGGAATCTCAATGGGGAGACAAAGCACAGGCTATATGGGGACCTATCTTGTCCTGGAATCTCAATAGGGAGACAAAGCACAGGCTATATGGGGACCTATCTTGTCCTGGAATCTCAATGGGGAGACAAAGGACAGGCTATATGGGGACCTATCTTGTCCTGGAATCTCAATGGGGAGACAAAGCACAGGCTATATGGGGACCTATCTTGTCCTGGAATCTCAATGGGGAGACAAAGTACAGGCTATATGGGGACCTATCTTGTCCTGGAATCTCAATGGGGAGACAAAGCACAGGCTATATGGGGACCTATCTTGTCCTGGAATCTCAATGGGGAGACAAAGCACAGGCTATATGGGGACCTTTGCAGTCTCGCACAGGGTTTACTGAGGACTGATTCTAGTTTATACAGTGATCCTTCGACTGTTTGTTTAAAAAAGATTTAGATTTCAATGACAACTTGTACCTGTCTTCAAACCATAACACAGTTAAATGCATTTGGGATATGATAGCCCTTTAACTCCTGCTCATGCATAGAAGCGTCATCATGTGACATAGTACAGTGGTTTATCATGACACATATTGACAGCAATGATCATGAGGATGCCTGCCTTACGTACAATGGTGTCATTATGATGCCTTTCTAAGTACAATGGTATCATTTTGACGCCTACCTGAGTACCATGGTATTGCAATGCCTACCTGAGTACAATGGTATCATTGTGATGTCTATCTGAGTACAATGGTATCATTGTGACGCCTACCTCAGTACCATGGTATTGCAATGCCTACCTGAGTACAATGGTATCATTGTGATGCCTATCTGTGTACAATGGTATCATTATGATGCCTATCTGACTACAACGGTATCATTGTGATGCCTATCTGAGTACAATGGTATCATTGTGATGCCTATCTGACTACAACGGTATCATTGTGATGCCTATCTGAGTACAATGGCATCATTGTGATGCCTATCTGAGAACAATGGTCTCATTGTGATGCCTACCTCAGTACAATGTTATCATTGTGATGCCTATCTGAGTACAATGGCATCATTGTGATGCCTACCTAAATACAATGGTATCATTGTGATGCCTATCTGAGTACAATGGCATCATTGTGATGCCTATCTGAGTACAATGGTCTCATTGTGATGCCTACCTCAGTACAATGGCATCATTGTGATGCCTATCTGAGTAAAATGGCATCATTGTGATGCCTACCTAAATACAATGGTATCATTGTGATGCCTACCTCAGTACAATGGCATCATTATGATGTCTATCTGAGTACAATGGTATCATTGTGATGCCTACCTCAGTACCATGGTATTGCAATGCCTACCTGAGTACAACGGTATCATTGTGATGCCTATCTGAGTACAATGGTATCATTGTGATGCCTATCTGAGTACAATGGTCTCATTGTGATGCCTACCTCAATACAATGGCATCATTGTGATGCCTATCTGAGTACAATGGCATCATTGTGATGCCTACCTAAATACAATGGTATCATTGTGATGCCTATCTGAATACAATGGTATCATTGTGATGCCTACCTGAGTAAAATGGCATCATTGTGATGCCTATCTGAGTACAATGGTATCATTATGATGTCTATCTGAGTACAACAGTATCATTGTGATGCCTATCTGAGTAAAATGGTATCATTGTGATGCCTATCAGAGGACATTGGTATCATTATGATGTCTATCTGAGTACAATGGTATCATTGTGATGCCTACCTGAGTAAAATGGTATCATTATGACAACTACCTCAGTGCAATGATATCATTGTGATGCCTATCTGAGTACAATAGTATCATTATGATGCCTACCTGAGTACAATAGTATCATTGTGATGCCTATCTGAGTACAATGGCTTCATTATGACAACTACCTCAGTGCAATGATATCATTGCGATGCCTACCTACATGCAATGTCATGTTATGGCTCCTACCTAGGTGCAGTGGAGTGTTTCCCAGTATGTCCTTCTGGTTGACGTCTGCTCCTTTGTCCAGCAACACCTTCACAATCAGCTCGTGACCCTGACAGGAAGCAAAGTGAAGGGCAGTCCTCCTCTTCTCATCATGGCAGCATGGATCAACCCCATTGTCTAGCAACTCAATCACTGTACACAAAGAATCCTAATCTCACTCACAAGACAGAAAACAAACATTTAAACATTTCAATTCCTTCTGAAAAGAAGTGTTAATTTCTTATGGTACCCAATAAGGTCATTTCTGTTCTTCCTATAAACATATAATAGTCACAAGTGGCATGTAGACACTATCTTGGCCAGTAGAAAATATACAAGAAGGTGTCCACTTACATTTGTAACAAACACTCAACAACACTTTGGACATTCAATATCAGCGTTGACAATATTCATGAATTCCAAAATACATACCTGTACTATATTCATTTTTTGAAGCTGCGTTTCTTAATTTTTTCTCATCTGAAAAAAAATAACATAGGTAAACAAATATACTTAAACTCTTATTTTTCCATAAATACAGGATTGCCCATTATCTATCGGTGTCATCAAGGAAAGCACTTGCCATCTTATCATGCTTGATGATAAAACATTGAGCAGTAGAGTGTGGGCACTGAAAACGTCTTACCTTTTTCACAATTATGATTTTCAAATTAGCAATTTGTGATAGTTTATTGCATCTAAGACTAATTTCTAAATTCCATTCTAAAGTCACTAATATATAACAATCTTTTAACAACTTTTAAGTTTTACTGCTTATTTTTACATTAAATTGTGTGCAAGCTAGGACATAACACAGTTCTGACAAAATAGGATAACTTAAGATTGTAGTTTTATATCTTTAATGTGGAAGGACAGATATTTGAATGAAAGTCTAAAAGGAAACAGCTTAAACAAACAAGTATCAGATCATAATCAGGGGGAATCTGAACAGAATCTGACCATGAATATTTCTTCCAGTGGTCCTTCCAGTTTGATGCATCTTCATGCGTTTCCGACGATGTGTTTGTGATACTCGGATCTTTCCGGTGGCCTTCCTCTGCTGAGAGTTGGTGCATGAATGGGAAAGAGGCACCAGGCACATGAACTGAAGCCCAGCAGGGGGCTCCGGGTTCCAGCTGGTGAAGTCAAACTTGGGCAGGTCAAACCCTGCTACCTGCAAACAGCAATTCCATAATAACAAACAAGAAATGGTGCCATTATAGAATCAGTCAGTTTCGTAAAAACTATATGTCTTAAGACAAAATATTTAGCATTGGAAAATACACTTTTACGTATACATAATACATATTAACGATCCTTAAGGTTAGTTTGGGTTAGGGTAGGTTACCCCCAACTCTACCCTTAGCCCTTTGATACTTGAATGAAAATAGTGGTGAACATATTCTATTGCAGCTCCAAACAGAACTTATAAACCAATTTCAAGGGTCCCTTGGAGTTCGTTATGACCATGTTTTGGTGGATTAAGAGACAGGGCCTCCAAGTCGTGGTGGTCATGGCTGCATTCCACTGAATTCTGACACATCATAAATTTGGATATTGACACTCTATACAAGAAGCCAACATCCAAAGAGCAGCACAGCAATGTGGTTACTTCAGCTAAAACCATAAATGGCATGGAGTAAGCAGTCAGGATTTGGTGAAAACATGAAAAATGAGATGACAAAAATCATATCTTAACAGTACTTCAGATATATAAAATATTTGGGTTAGGGGTAACTTCAGGAACTAAAAAGAACTTTTGACAATCCTAGCTGGCAGACACTGACAGCTATTTTGAGCACTGTCAGCTATTTTGAGCACTGTCATTCACTTTCTGTATCTTCAGTTTCGTCACACTGTCAGTTCCCGAACACAAATTAGTTACCGTATATTCGCCTTCAGTACTGGTTCCATCACTTTCGCTTTCGTCAGTATCTTTGTTCATTCCTGCTAATAACTAACTGGTTCTAAATTTAATAATAATATTGTAGCCCCAGGTCTTCGGAATAGTTGTCACATATATGAACAGCGCTTATCTCCCCTTGAATTCTTTTGTCGCTTACAAAAATAAAGCGAACTAAATGTATGTAATAAGCTGTTACTATGCAAAAATGGTACACAATGTGAACATAAGTCTATACGACTCGGTAGTTCTATTGTTCAAATGCAACCTATCTGCTGTTATGTATAAGAAATAAATTTGAATTGATGTAAGGAACACCCGGAAGTTTACATTCTGAAGTTGACACGTGTTTTCGTGCAATCACGTTGTTGAAAGATTTATGGGTCTGGGACTTTGACGTTATGTTCAGTTTCTGAATAATGTTATATACGTTCCAACTTTTGTTTTGGTTTCCGTTTATATTGGTATTTCTATACCTACTACTAAATTATGTTGTTAAAGGGAAAAAAGCAGCTTGCGTTGTTGTACTTGGGGACATCGGACGTAGCCCACGGATTCAGTACCATGCAATATCACTCGCAAAGGAAGGATACATGGTGGACATCGTGGGCTATGGAGGTAGATCACAAACAGATCATTTGTTTTTGCTTATATTTGACTTCGATTCTATCATGTCTATCATTATGTGTTTGTCGATCCATATAACTATCGATTAATTCAATTAAATCATAATGTATAGATTTTGCATTAAAACGAACATTTATAATGATTTTGAGTTTCATATTTTAAGTATGTTTGCAAGATTTACCTTGCAGTTTATGAACACAATAAAAATATATAAATCGTCTGTTACCAGTTTGAGCGTAAGGCAGATCACAGGACCATGTAATTAATAATAATAATAAACAAATTCGCAAAAAACTCGTAGACAAGCACTTTGGCCTTGTCTGCAAGTTTGTTTGTTATTAGTATTCGTTACATGGTCCTGTGGGTTGATGCATATTTCATAGCTAGGAATGCCAACATAACATGTAGGTGGCCTAGGGGCATAATCATGATAATTGGACCGCTTTGGCAGATTATGCAGTGGATTCTTTTGGGAAAAAACAATTCCCCTGGACACTTTGGGTAAAATTTCTGATGTACCCTTTCATTAGTAGACCCTTTGGGTATTATAAACTCTAGGACATGGACTGATTGTTATCTAAAATGTTCTGAAAGGTTTGTTTTTTTCAAATTTGGTCATGATATAGAAGCATGTCCCAGCCAAAGTTGATAAAAACTGAACATGTCCTAATAGTAGTACCAATCATCTCTTGCAAAATACTGCTTTCACTTCAGTATACTGCAGTATATATGTTACAGGAAACAAGTATAATCAGTGATTAAGTCTAATGACTGAAAATTTCAGTGATTATGTCTAATAACTGATTCACTCGGTGGTTATGTCTAATTACTGAAATCTTCAGTAATTAGACATAATCACTGAAATGAACCAAGGGATTTTATACTTGTTTACTGAAAGCATATTCCTGCCTTGTTTTTATAATGTGTGCTAGTTTTGAAATTAGATTAGCTATCAAAGTAAATACAACCTCCTGTAACCAGATACCTTACACAAAAATCACAGAAATAAGCTTAAACAGTTCAATCTTTTATTTCATAAAATGGTATGACGTGAATGGTATGACAAATAGCAGTCAGATGGACACTCAGGAATGTTTGTTTGCACATGAAAGACTTGAATGACATCTAGAATTACATTGCATCTTGGCCTTAAAACATTTGCAGCGATTGGTCTGACACCGTTTAGTTCCAACACAATTACACCTTACAAAGCCTTGACCACCACAGACTGAGTCAAGTTGAACCGCTTGACGCAAAGAGAGTGTTCAATCGGTATTGAAATCGTCAGCATTATACAGTTTGGTTTGGTTCAGTAATTAGACATAACCACCGAGTGAATCAGTTATTAAAATAATCACTGAAATGTCCAGTTATTAGACTTAATCAATGATTATACTTGTTTCCTGTAACATATGTTTTGATTTCTATGGACAACTAGCGAAGCCTTCTCAAATGTTGTTACAACACATGATTCTGTTTGTTTACAGGAGATTGGCTTAGGACAAGATTATGAAGCCTTCTCACAAGTTATTATAAAAAGGCAGGGATATGCTTTCAGTAAACAAGTATAAAATCCCTTGGTTCATTTCAGTGATTATGTCTAATTACTGAAGATTTCAGTAATTAGACATAACCACCGAGTGAATCAGTTATTAGACATAATCACTGAAATTTCCAGTTATTAGACTTAATCACTGATTATACTTGTTTCCTGTAACATATATACTGCAGTATTACTACATTATGTATGTAGCTCAGTACTTGTAACTTCATTTTTTTAAACATGAAGGTTCGGATCCACATAAACAAGTAACAGATGAAAAGAACATATCAGTTCACACAATGATGGAACCTCCCGCTCTATTCAGAGGTAAGGCATGCCTTTGTCATTCTCATCATCATGATATGCATATGTGCTGCAGTGATACTATTGATCTTGTCATTGTTTCCATGATGAGTTTGAAAGTAATGAGTGAGTTAAAATTATATATAGCAAAGGCAATGTAAGAGAGCAATCTAGCAAGTAGTTCCTGCTTTTCTTCATATGAAGACAGTCAGTAAGCCAATTATGCATTAAAAGAAATAGATAGAAGGATATTTGTGACAATTCGTTCCACAAGACTTACCAATGATAGAGTGCCATGAATATGTCGAAGCTGACATATTGCACTAATTTGCAAAGTTTACAAAACATAATACAGAGTATTCGAAGAACTGTATAAATCCTGCTTTTTCACTGTGGATGTGACCCATGAAGATATGGATTAGAATAACGCAATTTGTCTACTGCATCCCATGCTTGTCGTAAGAGGCGACTAACGGGATTGGTTGTCAGACTCACTGACTTGGTCGATTCATGTATCGTATCCCAATTGCATAAATCGATACTCATGATGTCTATCACTGTATTGTCTGGTCCAGACTTGATTATTTACAATATTGCAGACAGCTGTCACATAGCTGGAATATTGCAGAGTGCAGCGTTTAACAATAAGCAAACAAACTGTGGATGCTCACTGGATGAACCATTATGACATGGAATTTGTTTCTTTCAGTGTTTCCAAGAATCATAGGCTATTTTCTGAAAGTCATCTGGCAGTCAGGTGTTCTAGGATTTACTCTTCTCTTGTTGCCCAAGTCTGGATATACACTGCTTCAGGTAAACAGCTTACCCATCGTTGTTTGCTTGGACAACACACGTACTATATGTTAATCTATTATCTGGTTCCACATGTCTTGAACTCAGTTAACTGTAACGTCAGTGAACACATTCAGTGAAAGTACATTTGTTATGGTAAGGGTGTAAACAACTACATTTTTTAATCAAATTGATTACATTACTCTTGTCATGCAGGGTCATGGAACTGTAGTTTATATTGGTTGGAATATTTAAGGAATAACTTAAATATTTGTTTTGCATTTTGTGTTATAAATAATATTAATGAAAATTCTTATATATATTAGTCAACACCTATATCCACACAGACTGCTTATTACATCAAAAACATAAGATAACTGTAGATAACAACATGGAATCCGTGACAATGTTCAGCCCAATAAAGCAATACAAACCATGGCTGATATATTATCAGCCAATCAGGAGACTGTAGTCTGTTAGTGGGCATGGCCTATTTTATGTTAGTTTTATTGAAACATAAATGCACAGGAAAATACTTGGTTTGCCAATCACATGCCATGAAATCACTTGCGAGTTACTTATTGTACTATGAATCATAATACTTCAAACTTAGTCTTTTCAATTTGCCATTTAAAGTGACAGTTTGATGGTTACTTTGCAATCAGAAGTCAGGTTAGTGAAAGTAGATTCCTTCTGAGTAGCAAGACCCGTTGAAACTAACTTGCCAACATCGGATAAGTTTTCTAAAACATGGAGCTTTCTCACTTCTCATATTTTAGATGGAACAGTGCCGTCAGTCTTGAGATGGACAGGTTACTATCTATGGCACACAACTTTTCATGGTACTGATTACTGATAACGACAATACGACTGAATATCTACCCGAGGCAAGGGAGTTAACAGACTGTAATGCTCCAGTTTCCACCCTTGCCGAACTAGGTTTCTTGGTTTGATTGTAGCGCAACCAGTGGCTATTATGAGTTATGTCCCTTCTATGTACCCCTTATTGACCAGTCAGAGTCCACCTCTCATATCACTTGCATTTGCTTCAAACAAAATGGTGTCACCACATGAAGGATTCTGATCGATAATCAAGATCTATATTGTAGTAACATGGGTCTTACTTCGCGTATTGCATCAAATCATGAAAAGATGTGGAAAATATCTGTAGACGCTATTTTGACGGATACATGCTTTGCAAATCCTGCAGCCGACCGAAATGTGCACGGTAGTTTACGAACCGGATGTCGATTTGGATTGAAGAATGCATAGAGTCGTTAGTCAGGTCAAAATGTAACTCCATAATTCCAGCCTATTTCTGCAAGGGTGGAAACTGAACTTTTATAGTCGGTTAACTCCCTTGCCTAGGGAAGATGACAGCTGAATAACCCATAGCCCTCCAGCAGCATCTGTGGAATGCTGTCTGTGATGTCTCTGAAGGTTTGGTGTAACAACTTATGGACAGACACTGTTCATGGAGATAACAGTCATTCTTCTGTTATGGTATGGCAGCCTACAGTCGGTTCTTGAGATGAGGTGTGTGTTTAACTGTTCTTCCTAGAACCCCCCGGCCATCCCAACTATTGCCGTCTGCTGGCTGGTGTCGCTGCTGAGATCCAGCCACCTGGTGGTGGACTGGCATAACTATGGGTACACCATCCTCAGCCTTAGTCTGGGCAGGTCCCATCCACTGGTGGCCTTCTCCAAGTGGTGAGCAGGTTTGGTTGTTTTCGACTTACATTCATGTCAAATGTGGCAGTCTTTTGTTCAAGTTGGAAACATTTCAAATTTGCATGATTTAGGCTACAACTTGTTGTTAGGTATTAAGTGACCACAATCTTTTTTTATTAATGTAGTTAGCACACAAGGTTAAAACTTCCATTAAGCACATTTTTACACCCAAACACAACATGGCTGCTTGAATGACAGATTTCCCCAAAGTCATTTCCTTTAACGTGTTAGAGCAATAGGTTGTCTTTTGTTATTTCTTAGTAGTCTTTATGTATAATAATGGGAAAGATCAGTTATATCTATATTTCTCTTACAATTATATCCAGTGTTTGACATAGAAAATAATTGCCAGGCTGCCATCAGGACTTTAGAAGCTGTAGGCCCGGACTGAACTCTCCAGGCCCTCATTTAGAAAACTGCAGCTTACTGTGACAGAGAAATACGCACACAAATTTACTGCAGGACATAAGGACCCAGGCTTGTTGTCAAGCAAGACAAGGTGACAACGGTATAAGGATCTATACCGAAACGTCACTTTTCACAGTATTAAAGAAGTTGTTATCCATAATATTGTGTCTATCTTGTCATCCGTCAACTTCTAAGTAATGCCTATCAAACAATTTAACAGACACGAGATGTACATGTACCTGCCACAGGCTTACGGACAGGTGCTTATTTCAAACACTGGTTATCTCTATAGGTTTTACTGGCAATCGAATTGGGATTACACTTTAGAATAAAACAATCCTTTCTTTGTCTCAGGTATGAAAGATTCTTTGGAAGATTTGCACACTCCAATCTGTGTGTGACGGACGCCATGAGGAAGGACCTCCACGATAACTGGGGTGTGAAGTGAGTGGGGGGAATCTCCGAGTGTGGGATGCTGGTTGTGAGGGCCACTGCCATAAATTTACAAATCTGCATAAAAAAAGTGTAATCAATTTATGATGTAAGGATCTTTAGAAATTGAGTACTGGAATTATTAATTTGTGAATGGATGTCTGTTTTTGCATAATAATTGGTAAATTACAGTATCTATAAAATATGTATTATAATCCATTGGTAAACTAAACCTTTGTGCGTATTCATTTCCTTCGAAATTCACTCTAGCCTCACTCTAACTGACAGGAAATGTAAACAAGCTAAACATTTAAGTTACTCAAGGAGGACTAGCTTCAAACTCTGAGGATGAGTGAAATAAGGTTTATACTAGTTTACACTAGTCCTCTGGACTGGTATTAAAAAGGGCCATTAACACCAGGCTTGATAACCCGTTGATGAAGGTCTGTGTAATTCTCACAGAGCAGTGACGCTGTATGATCGAGCACCACAGAGATTCCAAGCAACCTCTGTCTCCACTAAGCATGACCTCTTCTCCAGACTGTGTCGAGAATACCCTGTATTTGCTGCGGAGTAAGTAAAATGTCCGTTTCCAGATGTGAATGAGATTTTGCGAATGCTGATGTTCCTAGGTTGAAGAGTGACACTTTTATCCATGTTAACACAGTTAACACATATTCCAATTTACTTTCCCAAATTGTCTGTTTTCAATTACCGTTTGACAAACAAGAAGACCTGACTGGGCTCTGTCTAGTCTTTATGTGGCAGTAGCATAACACAAAGATAAAAATAGTTTGCTTTGTTATGAAAATTATAAAGGGATTAAGAGATGAGCGTTCATCTAATATCAATATTTATCATTTAACTTAAGCATTTATCCATGACATAAGCTTATGACATAAAAACATGTATGTCATACCCCAATGACATAAGTATGCAAATTAGATATGCAAATTAGATAACCGGAAGAGCGAGCGGTTTGATTTGAAACTATATATTATAAGTTAAGTTACACCAGAGATATAATCAGATTACACAGAATCGTTGTTGTTACCGTTATTAAAGTTTCAATTATTCTGCAAAAGTCTGTTCAAGTATTTTGTTTAAAATAATCCGAGGAACTTTTTTTCTCAGCGAATTGTTTATTTTGGTTTACATGGCTATGGAAAACATGTATCACTACGCACGATCTATACGTAAGATTTCGACAAGTTGCTGATGTTAATGTTTAATGCAATTATTCCTTAATTTGGAAGCAAAAATGTGAAAATGATAAATAGAATTCATCACTCGTGTTTTTTAATATGGGAAATATCAACCTCGTCCCGTTAATCGGTATTTGCCTCGCCAAAGCCTCGGCAAATACCGATTAACTAAGACTCGGTTGATATTTCCCATATTAAAAAATACTCGTGATGAATCCTCTATGAACATTATTGATTAACAAATTTCAGGAAAGCCTTAACATATTCAACCAGTCACAACTGAAACAACTCGACTGACAAATGACAATGTGCAAAGAAATTCTTAGAAAACACATGGAGATCATAAGTCAGTCATTGCACTGTGCAGGTCACCAGAGGGTCCAGTATTTACCAGCAGAGGCGAGTTGGGTGTGGAGGAGCGGAGGTCAAGGCCGGCACTTCTTGTCAGTAGTACGAGCTGGACAGGTGAGTAGCTGTACCTGCCCATGTGTGTTTGTTGCCAGGGTTTGGGGGAAATATTATTTTTTGACTGACTGTTGAACTGCGATATATTTTAACCATCGCTGTGTCAGAATCTGTCAATACCTATGATTGTGGGCTCGCTTTCCCGTGCTTGTAGGTTTCACCAAAGTGGTAAACTTCTGAGACCTGCATCACTTCAAGCTTTCCTCCCAAATTATGCTGTCAAGCTGTGATATAATTGGAATACTGTTCAAAGCACTGTTAAACCAAACTCACTCACTCTCATAATCTCTCAAAATTAAGACATCAGATATCAGCTTAATGAAGTTTTACTTCGACCTTTGTTTATTGCATGCCAAGTTTATTGCTCATAAAGGAAGTATGTTATAATGGTGTGATATTTCTTATTGCAGAGGATGAAGATTTTGGTATCCTGCTCAGTGCTTTAGAAAGTAAGTCATTACCTTACTTTATCATACTTTATCTCCTATCGTGATTCAATAAATATGCAAATGAGGTAACCTAGAAGAAACTACTTCTAGAAAACTTCATACAACCTGCCTTGATAAACTATTGCTGAATGCTATCCATTCATTGAGACAGGGATGTGCATATTTCCTCAAGAAACATAGATGCAAAGTCAGTTGTTACTATATCCTAAATAGGGCAGTTCATGCTAACATTGTATTCATAGGTGGTTTCTAAATTTACAGCAGTAAGTGAAAATTGATTATAATAATGTCATTATTATCCCTTGTCCGTCCGTCCGTCAAATTTTCGCAAAACTATTTAAGTCAGAGAAATAAAATTTTACACAATGAGTTAGAAAATTGGTGTAAATATATTTTTAACAGAGTTGTGGCCCTTGCTCCATGTTTTTTAACTTTGTGGAAACTGCATGAAATGGGGACAAGTTTTCTCAGAAACAACTGAAGTTACATGAATGAAAGCTTGCATGCTTATCTAAAACATACTTGTCAAAACTGTGTTTGAAAAATGGTGCTGTAAATTTTGTGTGTGCAGAGTTATGGCCCTTGCTGCATGCTTTTCAACTAAGTGCATAGTGTCTGCCATTAATTGTTTTCCAGAGAAGGCCCGTGTATTGTGTGTATTAATTTCACATGGAATCATTTTTTTCTGATGACAGCCCAAGTGCCTTTCTCTTCTTAAGGCTTTATAGGATTCGTTTTTTTATAGTTTATATTCACTATTTTAATGATGGGCATAGTTTTCTTGTTTAATAAAGAGACTACGCTTGTGTGTTTGGTATCATAACATCCGATATTCAAAATATATAGATGAGGAACTTAAGAACAACCTGAGAAAAGTTACGATATTGAAACAATTTGGCTAATATCCATGTTTTAAGAAAAATATATTTGCTTAATGTTTCCAAATACATTTAAAAAACCCTCCCAAGTAATTAGTCATTAGGGGAATCCAGAAAGCATGAAGTTGGCAAATACTCCAGAACTGTTATTTGCCACTTGTAAACAAACATCATATGTTCTGAATGATCTTAATTATGACATTGTAAAATTGAAAAAAAAGTGAATTTCTATGCCTGTTGTCAATTCTAAATGCAGAATACGAAGAGGCCGTATCAACGAGGTCCTTGCCCTTACCTGACCTGATCTGTGTGATAACAGGTGAGCTGGTCCTATTGTCACATTATCATGACTAATGTCTGTAGGGTTTACTCCAGTGTCCACCTGTTCAATGGCCTGTCTATGTGTAAGACACGTGAAAGCAGTGGGCACTACATCTTCTCGAGGCAAGGGAGTCAACTGACTATGAAAGTCCAGTTTCCACCCTTGCCGTCCTGGAATTATGGAGTTATATTTCGGCTGGAATAACGAGTCTATGCATAATCTAATCAAAATCGTGTAACGAAATCGACATCCAGTTCATAAACTGCTGTGCAGATTTCGGTCGATTGCTGGATTTGCAAAGCATGTGTATGGGTAGCTCGGCATCAACAGATATTTTCCAAATCTTTTCATGTTTTAATCAAGGAGCTCACATGATTTGATGCACTTCGCAAAGTAAAACCTGTTTAATCACAATATTGATGTTGATTATCGATCCGATCATCTTGACTGGGCGCCACCATTTTGTTTGAAGCAAATGCAAGTGATATGAGAGGTGGAATCTGATTGGTCAATAGGAGCGACATAGAAGGGATATAACCAGTAATAGAAACTGGTGGCGCCCAGAAATTCCAGCCTAGTTTGCCAGGAACTGGACTTTTGCAGTAAACAGCCTTGCATCGGGAAGATGTGGGCACAAAGGGTCCACCTGTGATGGTAGTAGCTTACGTTTCTAAATGGAATTTCTCCAAAGTCAGGCTATGTATTATTTTTCTTCAAATTTCCATTTTTTTGACATCCTGGTAATCTTCTTGATGTAGCAGTTGAAGCAGAGTAGAGCATGTCGAGTTGTATATAACATGGAGATGTCAGAAGCATAGAACACTATGCTAAACACTTCTCAAGTTCAGAAATTTACACACATGATGTATGTTATCTGTCCAATCTCATTAAAATCAGATTGTTGTGCTCGCTACTGCTTAACAAATATCTGAAGACATCCCATGACGGGTCACATCAGACCAAACTTTATCCGACCAATGGGATGACTGACAACAAGTCTACATTAGCCCATCAGAAAGCTGCTTTCTCATGCTCTACAGCACTAGATTCAAATTGGCGACTACGCTTCCGAATTCTCGATTAGAAAATAACATTCTGGAGTGGGTAATACATGGCCTATTATGGATTTAGTCGTAAAGCCTGTGTTGTTCGGAATAAATTTGTGTTACATTTTTCATGGTTTCATCATTAGAAAACATTCTGACTGTCACTTCCTGATTTGGTAAGCGATGCACTGATTGACCGGATGAAAGGTTGTCCTAACGTGCCCTGTAATGGAATGTCCATCTTTGTATAGCAGTAGCGAGAACAAAGATCTAATTTTTATGAGATTCGTTATCTGTCCCCTAAGGCAAAGGTCCTCAGAAAGACTTTTATATGAAGAAGATATCGGAGATGACTTTCTCTCACATCAAGTTCTGTCTCCCATGGCTGACATCGGAGGACTATCCACTCCTGCTCGGTGAGTAGAACCTGTGACGTGTCCTTGGTAAAATCAATGATCATACTGAGCAAGCATACAATGCAGCTGTAACAGAAAACAGGCTTGGAGCATGATGACGTTTATTCACAAAACCACATATTGACACACCTATGTTTTGTACAATATTTACAATGAGCACTATATGTCCTTTGGCTTGATGCAGTCAGATACTCCTAATTTGATCGCTGGAACGCACAACACTCCATACTAAGTCCACGAGCAATCTTGGTAACCTCATGGTCATGTGACTCGTCCAAATCAGCTGCTGAAAGGTCGTCGTGGTTCTCAAAGTTTTGTTTGATGAAGTTGTAGCACTGCCTGACTTGTCTCCACTTCTGTGTGGCCAGTCGTAGGTAGACCTGACGGACACCTTCAGCTACACACTTCCTGTTAAGCAGGAGTAACCCATGGCCAACATGGCTGCCATTGGCTGCATCTCTCACGATCTTCTCGGTCAGTTCCAGGATGTAGGCATCTGAAAGGAGTATAAGAACTGTTTATATTTCTGTGTAAAGAAAAAGAATATTACGCCTTACAGTATAAATGTTTTGGAAGGATTTGCTCAATTTTTGAATGAAATACTTGAGGACAACACATGTACATACCTATGGCCTGGACTTGTTCGAGGAATCTATCCTGCATTTCAATGAGACTGAAGAGCTGGAAGGAGGCAGACACTGGGTCGTCCTGCCATGAGACAGCAGCAGACGACAATTTAGTGGCAGACGTTGAACAGATCTGGTCAGCACAGGTGGTTGAAGTGGATGTCGCCATGGTTTCAAAGTTAGAATATAGGATGGATTTTCAAGGAGAGCCAATTGACAATGCAAATCCAAAGCTTGAATGTGAATAGTGTGCATCAGACATCCTGCCTCTTATACCTGCCTGTGTGACACTGAGGCATGGAGTAGCCTGTTGGAGTAGTGGCAAGCTCAGTTCTCCCATAAGTTGGATTGACAAGGATTATCCTGGCTAACCCTGCTAATTTGACCTAATCTCATTGTCTTGTCTCATTGAGAGTGCTGGGCAGGAACTGCTTGATTGGCTGGAAGTCGGGTAGATTGAAGAGATTTATTACGTGTTGTTACAGCTATGTACTCTCCACACCATGTTGTTAGTGATTGCTTGATTGGATGTCAGCCTACCCAATGGCTGCAATGCATTGCTATAGGAAGGACTTTTTGGTGATTGCCTGATTGGCAGTAAATTGGTGGTGCGTATGTCACAGTATTGTGAATATATATTGTTGATATTGTGCTGCCACATTACTGCTGGTAATTTAAACAGGCAGGCCAAATTTGACTGCAAAGAAACAGATGTAAACTTGGATACACTTTTTTACCAACCATGATGTAAAATATTGTGAAGTTAGCAAACATTCATTATAAAATTTGAAGTCATGATAACGTATTGTTCCGGAATGTTTAGATAACAGACATATGTATCATGATGTATTAATTTTCTTCTTTGAAAATACAATGACACAACATTACCACTATCACTAAGATTTGTACAAACTCTCATTGCTAGTCAGTTGTTTGTTTTGTCTGATTGTTGACACACAGAGAGTAGTTTTAATTACAGTAATTTACACAGGTGACAGAGCTTAATTAGCTAGTGTTTAATGGGTGAAATGTTTCACTAATCAGCAGTAGTTTAGTTGAAGTGAAGTGTGATGACAACTTCTTCCTATTCACTCAGGCTGTATATAACCATGGTCAGTGCAGGGACTTCTTCAGAATGTTTACTGGCAGGCTTTTGTGTTTGCTGTGCAGTGTTGTGTATCAGGGTGCAGTGACCACACCTAATGATTCATTAACATTAATCAGCGCCTTCAACCAACAACTGGTCTGCTATATCAACCATCGCTGTGAATAGCTGTAATATTGCTGAGGCCCCAAAGCAGAATGTATCCCATCCTTCTATATCAACCAGGCCATGAAGCTATATTGAACCTAAAAGGAAACAGCACTTCCTGAAAATCCTTCATGAAAGTTTCCCTTTGAAATACCAATGCATTTTTTTTTGTATCTCATTTTTGGCATAGTCTGTATCCAAATTTTATGTCAACGTCCGAAAAGTAACACACATATGGATATAATGACAAAATGCAGCTTAACAAACAACCATGGTACAAATTCCCGAATGCTTTCCATGAGAATCAAAATTCACTTGCATTTCCTTGTGCCTTTTCTGATGAATGGCACCACATACAGTAAACTGGGGTTATAACGAACTGAAAGGGACCACTACCGGGTAATTCTAGTTCGTTATAACCATAATTCATTATAAGCTTACATACAACATATAGACAGAAAATGTCCGGGAATAAAAAAAACAGTTTGTTATATCCGTCAGTTCATTATAAGCGTGTTCCTTATAGACAAAGTTGACTGTACGTGTATCCAACATTCTTGTATTGATACTAGCAACATGCCAAGACTTACAAAGTATCAGAGAAACCAGGCTGTAAGAAGACGGTACGCTGTTGGTGACCTGGTGTCTTTGCTGCAATCTGTAGATGGTTCTCAGGTGGACAATAAAAACGTTTGCAATCATTTTTGCAGGCATGCAGTCGTCCGAAAGCCTGGTTTTCCCCGATCCTTCTATAACATTCCAAATAGGAAATTCCAGGCGAGCTTTGAAAAAAAGCCATGGCTGAATTTTGCTGTTGACTCTTGTCTTTTTCAGTCAAGAAGAAATCTTTGCAATAGTCTTGATTAACAACAGTATGAGGATCTAAACCGAAATGTCGCCATTACAGTAAAATAGGGAAGTTGTTATACGTTATTATGTCTACAATAGTCTTTATGTTTCCCTTTCTCCCACAGGCTCAGCGGACATAGGCGTGTGTCTTCATAAGTCATCCAGTGGGCTGGATCTACCAATGAAAGTGGTTGACATGTTTGGCTGTGGCCTTCCAGTTTGTGCTGTGGATTTTAATTGGTCAGTGAATACAAATAATTGATTGGGGACTCTGGGTTAGAATAGGTCCCCAGCAACCTATACTTGTCTCCCCAGGGGTTCTCTGGGTTAGAATAGGTCCCCAGCAACCTATGCTTGTCTCCCCACGGGTACTCTGGGTTAGAATAGGTCCCCAGCAACCTATGCTTGTCTCCCCACGGGTACTCTGGGTTAGAATAGGTCCCCAGCAACCTATGCTTGTCTCCCCACGGGTACTCTGGGTTAGAATAGGTCCCCAGCAACCTATGCTTGTCTCCCCACGGGTACTCTGGGTTAGAATAGGTCCCCAGCAACCTATACTTGTCTCCCCAGGGGTACTCTAGGTTAGAATAGGTCCCCAGCAACCTATGCTTGTCTCCCCAGGGGTACTCTGGGTTAGAATAGGTCCCCAGCAACCTATGCTTGTCTCCCCAGGGGTACTCTGGGTTAGAATAGGTCCCCAGCAACCTATGCTTGTCTCCCCAGGGGTACTCTGGGTTAGAATAGGTCCCCAGCAACCTATGCTTGTCACCCCACGGGTACTCTCGGTTAGAATTGGTCCCCAGCAACCTATGCTGGTTGTACAAGGTGACTTAATGGGTAAATGTACAGTGACTTTGTTTATAGCATGTCATCCTACTCCGATAGTAGGGGTGACTATTGAGGCATTTTTGACTATTGCGATACTATTGCGATAGTTAAAACAACCTATTGCGATACTATTGCGATAGTGGCCCTACTATTGCGATACTATTGCGATAGTTTTCACTTGCAATTATAGCAGGCTTTAGCAGCATATATTTCAGCATTTTGACTGACACCATCAAAATAATTATAACTTTCTGATACTATTTGCAAAGAAAACAAGAAATGAGAAGAAAACAAGTTCAAACAGACCTCAAAAATATTTTAATATAAAATTTCACTTCATGTAACTGGCAGAGTTTTAGCGCCAATGTGAATGAATGTGATTGAATGACTAGTATTTGACTATACAAACTGTCAAACTCTTTAATTGTCACATTGGCATTCACTGAATGACTAAATGCGATTCAACATATCAATTAGGAAACAAAGTTGACAAAACTGACATGTGGCATCCGCCATCTTGTCAATGTTGCCTAGCGACGAGTAGCTAAGGGACGTAATTCTAAATCAAGCAGACAAAGAAGTGCAATCCAATCGAAAGCATGACAGAGGTTAGATGATCATAGGAGTTGTTTCTATGTTTTTTAAGAAAGTAAATGTACCAAACAAATTAACTATCGAAACTATCAATAGTTAGACAAACTATCGGCAATAGTATCGATTGTTTCAAGTTGCAATCGATAGTGTACTATCGTGAGACAAGCAATCGCAATCAATCGATAGTTCCATGTATCGTTACACCACTATCTGATAGCGTGGATTGTTGCCAATCATTGGTTCACCAGAATCACCAGATTCAACTTCATGTAGGTGGAACATTGCTGAGTGCTGAATTAAATAACAAACCCAGTGGTAAACATCAAGGGCCACACTAGGCTGACATACCACGATAGGACTGAGGTAGTGTGTAGTTGGGTTTCCTCTCACACTAAGCTGACATACCACGATAGCACTAAGGTAGTGTGTAGTTGGGTTTCCTCTCACACTAAGCTGACATACCACGATAGCACTAAGGTAGTGTGTAGTTGGGTTTCCTCTCACACTAAGCTGACATACCACGATAGGACTAAGGTAGTGTGTAGTTGGGTTTTACTCTCACACTAAGCTGACATACCACGATAGGACTGAGATAGTGTGTAGTTGGGTTTTCCTCTCACACTAAGCTGACATACCACGATAGGACTGAGATAGTGTGTAGTAGGGTTTTCCTCTCACACTAAGCTGACATACCAGGATAGGACTAAGGTAGTGTGTAGTTGGGTTTTCCTCTCACACTAAGCTGACATACCACGATAGGACTGAGATAGTGTGTAGTTGGGTTTTCCTCTCACACTAAGCTGACATACCACGATAGGACTGAGATAGTGTGTAGTGGGGTTTTCCTCTCACACTAAGCTGACATACCAGGATAGGACTAAGGTAGTGTGTAGTTGGGTTTTCCTCTCACACTAGGCTGACATACCACGATAGGACTGAGATAGTGTGTAGTTGGGTTTTCCTCTCACACTAAGCTGACATACCAGGATAGGACTAAGGTAGTGTGTAGTTTGGTTTTCCTCTCACACTAGGCTGACATACCACGATAGCACTAAGGTAGTGTGTAGTTGGGTTTCCTCTCACACTAAGCTGACATACCACGATAGGACTGAGATAGTGTGTAGTGGGGTTTTCCTCTCACACTAGGCTGACATACCACGATAGGACTGAGATAGTGTGTAGTTGGGTTTTCCTCTCACACTAAGCTGACATACCACGACAGGACTGAGATAGTGTGTAGTTGGGTTTCCTCTCACACTAAGCTGACATACCACGATAGCACTAAGGTAGTGTGTAGTTGGGTTTTCCTCTCACACTAAGCTGACATACCACGACAGGACTGAGATAGTGTGTAGTTGGGTTTCCTCTCACACTAAGCTGACATACCACGATAGCACTAAGGTAGTGTGTAGTTGGGTTTTCCTCTCACACTAAGCTGACATACCACGACAGGACTGAGATAGTGTGTAGTTGGGTTTCCTCTCACACTAAGCTGACATACCACGATAGGACTGAGATAGTGTGTAGTTGGGTTTTCCTCTCACACTAGGCTGACGTGCCACGATAGGACTGAGGTGTGTAGTTGGGTTTTCCTCTCACACTAAGCTGACATACCACAATAGGACTGAGATAGTGTGTGAACAGGCATCCTACTCCAACTTGCATCTCATCAAATATATCTCGGTAGCCCTAATTAAACTCCCAACATGATACTACTAGCATACACAGAGAGTATCTGTTGGAGTGTTTCACCGTCTTGTGTTCCCAGTCTGCCCGAGTTGGTGAAGCACAGAGAGAATGGGCTGGTGTTCCACGACAGCGAGCAGTTGTCCGATCAACTGCAGGTAGGTAACATTATAACATGTACCTAGTACAGCACTTCTATTTCAAACCTAAACGGCTTCCAGTTTCAGAAGCGGACTCTCCCTGATTAGCACTGCTAGTTATCGTAACATGTCATGGCTCATGGAAGATATAAAGTTGGCAGTACTTTTGGACAGAAATCTCTCACAGGAAATACAACTTAATGTATTATAAATTGTAAATTGAGTCCCATGGGAAGGGTTTAACATTGGTTCTCCTCTGTCACGTTCTGTCTCAAGCATCCCACTGCTTCCACCTGTTTGTCTGTTGATCAGAATAACCCCCCAGAAACTGGTGTGCACTTTAGAACGCCCGAAGTGATGCAGGTCTAAGACGTTTACCACTTCAGTGAAACCCACGAGCACGGGTATGGTGCTGACAAACCTAGAAACATAATTGGGGCGAACCGGGATTCGAACTCATGATCATAGGTTTCTGGCGCGCCCAAGGGACGCAACTCTACACAGCGAATCGCAGCGCCTTAGACAACTGGGCCACCCGTGCCCCCGTAGACAGTAATAAGCAGTGTCTTAAGCGTAAAAAGTACAGCTAACAGCTTCAGTAGCAGAGCCATTAGTGATGTCATTTGATTGTGATGTCATGGTAACCAATGACGTCACAATGGTCTGCAAAGCAATGTAGATATTGCTTGATCTCACCCAAGCAATGTCTCCTTTCTACTACAAAGTTCATCAAGCATGTATTCAAGGGAAGTTTACAGGTATTAAATCTGTTTGGATGGCTCAAAATAAATGAACACTTCTCTTCACAGGATCTCTTGAAGGGTTTTCCAGACAACCAATCAGCATTGAGGAAACTGAGAAACAATGTGAAGTCCTTTCAGTCGGTGCGATGGCACGACCAGTGGGTCCGACTGGCCCTCCCACTGTTTCAGGACAAAGTGAAGACAGACTGACGTTCATCATTTACCTCTGTTTTAATGTATTATTAAACAAGTTGTTATCAAAGCATGTTCCTTATTTTTCTCCTCATCCCGTATATAGATCAACTTCCTCAGATTATGGATGATCTCTTGTGTGAGTGAGTTAATATTTGTCAATTCATTGGTATAGTCAAAATCAGTTAGTGTTGCAAGACCTAACCCCGCTCTATCCAGAGTTACTTACGGGCATCAAAGTACAATGGTAAGTCATCACTGTGCCAGGAAGTGGACCCAACCCCTGGCAAGGAAGGACACAATATTTGTCCAGAACTGACTGACACATTATATTTGGGATAATGCTTTCTTAGTAAAGTACAGAGTGAGGCACCTAGTCACCAGCACAAACTCAGCGATCTAATCCACTCAGCCTCCGAGACTTCCCCTCTGACAAGTGTAAACTGGCATTGGCAATGGCATTTGTGTGTTCATAGCTTTTGGCCATGGGGTACATGCCAATTTACACTTGTCAGAGGGGTACCTCATTCTGGCAGTGTGGGTTCGAATCCCGGATGGGACTAAACCCAAAAATGTATGAGAATCTGTACTTTACTAAGAAAGTCTTATCCCAAATATAACATTTGTTACATTTGTTACATTTTTCTAAATGGCATTTGTGTGTTCATGACTGACTGACATTTTGGCAAGACCTCCCCGTGGGCCCCAGTTGGGCTCCCCTTCTTGCTGATCTGTTTCTTTATGCATGTAAATCAGGTTTTCTCCTCAAACTGGCAAAGTCGAAACAAGGTAACTTGGCCAAGAATTTTAACATGAGCGTCAGGTGTATCGAGGATGTCATATCGTTCATGTACCATCAAAAAGCCAATTCCCCTCCACTTCCCTTCTACTCACCGGAACTCACCTGTATATTATTTTCATTTCACAGACAGATGTTTCAATGATCCTTTCAGATAAGTTTCACCACTATTTTTACCTTTTTTGCCCAATCTGTTCGGCGGATAATGGACACTGATTATTCTCTGGGCTTTACGTTTAATACTTTCATTTGAATAGAGTCCGGGTAACATAACAGGAAAATTTATCAAATAACCTTTAGACTGAATTTGTAATCATTTGATATACATATCATCTTGGTTTTGGATGACTAGCCTCTAGGACTGCCAATTGGCTCAAGTATGGCGTCCTGTTCTATTTACACTAAAGGTCCTGACTGGCTTTTACTTCATCGTCTGAAGGATCTGAGGAGAACTTAAGTGTGGTGCTGTAAGTCAACAACAAGACTCTCAATGTTCAGCAGTTTATTTACAAAGCTCCAGATGAGTTTCTTGACAGCATGTGTCATGGCATCACTTGGCATTAACAATATCAACAAAAACACTAGATTTCAAACAATGAAGACAGAATCTTCAACATAAGTTTAAGAGTGTTTTCATCCTGCTAGCATGATCGTCACGTCACATGTTAACAATATTTACATGAGCACTGGATGTTCATCAGTGAAGACATATCTTCAATTCAAGTCATTTTAAGAGTGTTGTCATCCTGCTAGCATGATCGCTGGAACGCACAACACTCCATACTAAGTCCACGAGCAATCTGGGTGACCTCGTGGTCATGTGACTCCTCCAAATCAGCAGCTGAAAGATCGTCGTCATCGAAGTTTTGTCTGATGAAGTTGTAGCACTGCCTGACTTGTCTCCACTTCTGTGTGGCCAGTCGTAGGTAGACCTGACGGACACCTTCAGCTACACACTTCCTGTTGAGCAGAAGTAACCCATGGCCAACATGGCTGCCATTGGCTGCATCTCTCACGATTTTCTCGGTCAGTTCCAGGATGTAGGCATCTGAAATGAGAGACAGGAGCTTATTAGTAAATTGTAAATTAGTAAATTGTGTATGTAAATAATAGTTCATAAATGAAGACAGTGATATATATGCATAGGCCAATCAGCTAGTTATTTAGGTTATCATGTTAAAAATAGCATTTCTTTACGGATGTGACCTAATGGCCAACTTAATCAAAGAATTTCATTTAAGAAAGAATTACTTTAGATGAACACATGTACATACCTATTGCCTGGACTTGTACGAGGAATCTATCCTGCATTTCAATGAGACTGAAGAGTTGGAAGGAGGCAGACACTGGGTCGTCCTTCCATGAGGCAGCAGCAGACGACAATTTAGTGGCAGACGGTGAACAGATCTGGTCGGCACAGGAGGATGCCATGGTTTTAAGTTTCAATTACGATTTAACCAGAAAACAGATGAATTTAGGACTCGTAGCTTGCTTTAGTGGAGGTTATGAATGGTATGCATCAGACATTCTGCCTCTATATATCTGCCTGTGTACACTGAGGCATGGAGTAGTCTGTCGGAGAAGTGGCAAGCTCAGTTCTCCCATAAATGGGAATGACAAGGATTATTCTGGCTAATCCTACCACTTTGACCAAATCTCACAATTCTTGTCTCACTGAGAGTGCTGGGCAGGAAACTGTTTGATTGACAGGGAGACTAAAGCGATTTATAACATGTTGTTACAGTTATACAGCTATCCACTGTCAACACTAAAGTCTTAATAGTAACTGATTGTTTGATTGGATAACACCACCTCAGTAATAGTAACGCATTATCATAGGAAAGGAATTGTTGCCGATTTATAAGCAATAGATTGTTAGGATATTGTTGATATTATCACACCAATGATGATATAATTGATCAAAGGAATTAATGTATGCTGTGAATTAATGGAAAAAGATTACGTATGTAAAGATGATGATTATATCAGTTTCGTTGAAAGTAAAGTGCAACTACGATGATTTAAGGCACCTGCACATAACTTCCTGCGTGTCAACAAAGAAGTTGTCAATCATGCTTTTGTGTTCGATTAACAAATCACATCTTGTACTCTATTACTGTTTAGTGTTACGCCATTTTCACCTGATGTCAGGTAATTAACGGGGTGTTAATCAACATCGCCACCCGTGTAACCACAATACACTTTGTGTGCCCACATTGCGACCATTAAAACAGCTTACCAGCTGATGGATGTTTGGAGAAGGTCCTCAAGCCCCAATACAACAGCCAATTGTGCATTCTTAATATATAACCACGAGACAGGGACAATGAAAAGTCTTGCTCAATGATGTATATGTCAACAACGTGAGCTGACCAACTAACCATGCAGACCTGTCTATAATAACATCTTCATATCCGACCTGTGAAAATCCCGGGTTAGAAGAGGTCTTCACAAACCCATGCTTGCCGCAAAGGCGACTCTACTTATCGTAAGAGGCGACTAACTGGATTGAATGGTCAGGCTTGTTGTCTAGGCTTCCATCAGAACTATTGTGTAAATTGGCCTTGGAAATATATGGATAAAATCAAAATGAATTTGGAAATGAAGGATGTATGTGAGTAAATACTATCAAAATTATATAATAATTTGGTTTATAGAGTAATTAGGGTGATATGTATTGGTATAATTTTTATTTTCGTATTGAAATGATTTCTATTTTCATATTGCTTTGATTTTTATTTTCGTATTGAAAAGATTTGTTGTTATAACAAGTGTGCGTGAAAATTGGTTGTTGTATTGGGGCTTCAGGACGTTGTCTAAACATCCATCAGCTGGTAAGCTGTTTTAATTGTCGCAATGAGGGCACACAAAGTGTATTGTGATTACACAGGTGGCGATGTTGATTAACACTCCGTTAATTACCTGACATCAGGTGAAAATGGCGAAACGCTAAACAGAAATAGAGTACAAGATGTGATTTGTTGATCGAACACAAAAGCATGAATGACAACTTCTTTGTTAACACGCAGGAAGTTATGTGCAGGTGCCTTAAATCATCGTAGTTGCACTTTACTTTCAACGAAACTGATATAATCATCATCTTTACATACGTAATCTATTTCCATTAATTCACAGCATACATTAAATCCTTTGATCAATTATATCATCATTGGTGTGATAATATCAACAATATCCTAACAATCCATTTCTAATAAATCGGCAACAATTCCTTTCCTATGAAAATGCGTTACTATTATTGAGGTGGTGTTATCCAATCAAACAATCAGTGACTACAAAGTGTCGACAGTGGATAGCTGTATAACTGTAACAACATGTTATAAATAACTTTAGTCTCCCTGTCAATCAAACAATCAGTGACTACAAAGTGTCGACAGTGAATAGCTGTATAACTGTAACAACATGTTATAAATCACTTTAGTCTCCCTGTCAATTAAACAATCAGTGACTACAAAGTGTCCATAGTGAATAGCTGTATAACTGTAACAACATGTTATAAATCACTTTAGTCTCCCTGTCAATCAAACAGTTTCCTGCCCAGCACTCTCAGTGAGACAAGAATTGTGAGATTTGGTCAAAGTGGTAGGATTAGCCAGGATAATCCTTGTCATTCCCATTAATGGGAGAACTGAGCTTGCCACTACTTCGACAGGCTACTCCATGCCTCAGTGCACACAGGCACATATATAGAGGCAGAATGTCTGATGCATACCAAATTTATTTATTCTTCAATTTATTCCAAATTTTAAAATTTCAAAAATCGATATAAGCAACCCCTAAAAGCCCCCCTCTTGTGTTGCACACACCACTTTCACCCTTCTCGGAATACACTAAATGGTCTGGCCAGGCCCGTGTGCGAAATACGCTGCAGTCGGAAAGCGCACGTTAAATCTTCTATATCAGTCAGTCAGTCAGATGCATACCATTCATAATCTCCACTAAAGCAAGCTACGAGTCCTAAATTCATCTGTTTTCTGGTTAAATCATAATTGAAACTTCCAAACATGGCATCCTCCTGTGCCGACCAGATCTGTTCACCGTCTGCCACTAAATTGTCGTCTGCTGCTGCCTCATGGAAGGACGACCCAATGTCTGCCTCCTTCCAACTCTTCAGTCTCATTGAAATGCAGGATAGATTCCTCGAACAAGTCCAGGCCATAGGTATGTACATGTGTTCATTTAAAGGAATTGTTTCTTAAATGAAATTCTTTGGTTAAAATGGTCATTTCGTCATATCCGTACCACATAAATTAACATAGCTATACTATTTATAAAGAACTGCTATTGTCATCATGATAACCTATACAACTAGCTGACTGATCAATGCATATATATCACTGTCTTCATTTATGATATAACTATTATTTACACACACAAAAGTACTAATAAGCTCCTGTCTCTCATTTCAGATGCCCACATCCTGGAACTGACCGAGAAAATCATGAGAGATGCAGTCAATGGCGGCCATGTTGGCCATGGGTTACTTCTGCTCAACAGGAAGTGTGTAGCTGAAGGTGTCCGTCAGGTGTACCTACGACTGGCCACACAGAAGTGGAGACAAGTCAGGCAGTGCTACAACTTCATCAGACAAAATTTTGAGGACCAGGACCACCTTTCAGCTGCTGATTTGGAGGAGTCACATAACCACGAGGTCACCCAGATTGCTCGTGGACTTAGTATGGAGTGTTTTGCGTTCCAGCGATCATGCTAGCAGGATGACAACACTCTTAAAATGACTTGAATTGAAGATATGTCTTCACTGATGAACATCCAGTGCTCATTGTAAATATTGTTAACACGTGACGACATGACATGCTGTCGATGCGTGGTTTTGTAAATAAACTTTGAGAGTCAGTTGAGTTCTTTCTGTACCCAGAGCCATGTCCTATAGAAAACAGTGACATTAATGACTGCTCTCTTTACGTATAAGCCTGGGTAGAGAAAGCTTCCCGTCCCGGATACCATCTTCAAATGGCAGATTTTTAAAACGTTTTTTTTCAATTGATAGAAAACATATGACAATCCAACAATGCATTTCTATTCCCAACTTACTAAACACCAACTGATCTCCAGCGGAATACAAACTGCTGGCGACATTCTACCAACTCATTGCAACAATTATATGGGCAATTCTATGTTTTGCTGTATAAGCGGCATACACTTTTCGGAGGAGCAAGTATGGCAGCTTACAGATGAATAAGGTATCAAAGTTTTTGAAATACCTGAGGAAAATTAATAAAATATTGAATTTTCAGACTCCGCATTGCACAGTGCAAATATATATTGGCATCATATCTAATTATGAATTGTCAGTGCAAGAGACTAACCAATAACTATATTTTCAGCCGAAACAGATACTATTTGGCGTAAAGGGCAAATAGTTCTGGTAAGGGAATCGACCACTGAAAATCAGTGATGACTTCAGGTGATTGCGAAAAAGGTAAGCATGTCCTGCCCTACCAGTAGCACCCGCCATTCAAACAATTTGCATAAAAAAATGTGTTTAGTGCCTGACGCAGCACAGCAGTACTCCTGCCATGCGACGTCAGCCTGTAAACCAATCAGACAATCAAGTGATCGGCGAACCAGAAAATCCAGTGACACGAGAGTACCATTACTTTGTTAATTTTGAATTACGTCTGCTGTGTACAAGTGCAGATCTTTTGCTGTTAATATAGGTGAAGAAAAATGTTAAGAAATATATTCGTTTTGTAATTTTTTTTCAAACGATTTACGTAAGAGGGGTGAAAACATATCCCTCCTCCCTGTGCTATGCCATAAGCCCTACTCATCGAGTATACAGGGTGGGTATACAGTAGTCTAGTGGGTAAAGCGTTCGCTCGTCACACCGAAGACCCGGATTCGATTCCCAACAAGGGTTCCCCGCCGTGATATTGCTTGAATATTGGTAAAAGCGGCGTAAAATCAAACTCACTCACTCACTCGAGTATACAGGGCACACAATTTGACCAGCTGTCAAATACGCCGCAATTCGCTGTGTACAGTTGCCTCCCTTAGCTGTACCAGGATGTGTTATTCGTGGGTTAGAATCCCAGGATTGAAATGGTCCTTGATTTGTCAGCCCCTGCTCGTGGGATTTCACCAACCTGCATAACTTTGGAGTGACAGAAATACTGTTCAAAGAGACTTTATAAGTAACTAACTCACTACACAATACAGCGGATTACTAAACTCACTCGGGGGCACGGGTGGCCCAGTCGTCTAAGGCACCGCGACTCGCTGAGTTGCGTCCCTTGGGCACGCCAGAAACCTATGATTGTGGGTTCGAATCCCGGTTGGCCCCGATTAAGTTTCTAGGTTTGTTAGCACCATACGCGTGCTCGTGGGTTTCACCGAAGTGGTAAACGTCTAAGACCTGCATCACTTCGGGCTTTCCTCCCACATTAAGCTGACACGCAATGATATAACTGTCATACTGTCAAAAGCGGCGTTTAACCCAACTCACTCACTAAACTCA